TATCATTCTGAGGTTAGCGAAATAATTTCTTCTCAGAAAAGGTTGGGTCGATCAATTTGAAAGTTCAGTAAAATTTGAAAATTTCACAACCAATCTAGAGTTTGTGATGTATTGTGTAAAGTTTGGCACAGTTTGTATAGATCGTTTAATTAATAGTAGTTAATAAAGCACAAATTCAGAGTAAACATTTTAAGGTCAAATTCTCAGAAATGGCACAAAGCTTGGTTTTCACATGTCGTAATTCATTGACAATGTTTCCATTGTTGATGATCACTAAATATTAAATTAATTTCTTTCCGACAGACAAAGCATTTTATGCACCAATGACCAAAAAAGTTTTTTTGTTTATAATTAATAACAGGTCCTCGACCAGTGCAAAATCCTCCTGAAGAACAGTTGTTTGAAAGTGGAACACAGCAAGTAGAGCAGTGTGATGATGTTGATGCAGCATTAGATATGTCAGAAGACGAGCAATCTGCCAGTGCTAGTAACCCACAAAAACGAGAGAAAAAAATTGTAGAAGCATCTCGCAGCAAGAAAGCATGTCTTTCTGATGTAATCGAAAAGTTAAATGAACAGATGGGAAACATAACCAATTTGATTGCAAGTAGCATTGTGTCACCAGAGGTGAGAGAGAAAGAAAGGAAGACAGGGAATTCTTTGGTCAGATGTTCAGTATGTTATCCCAAACCATGATTGGGATATCCCAAATGCATCAAAATAATCCTCATCAGTATTTCCCACATTCACAACAACCATTTCAACCACCTGCATTCTTTGGGATAAATCATAGTGAAACACTTGGAGCTTCACATGATACAGTTTCATGTTCAGAAAAAAATTAGCAATTACCGTACCCACTAGTAAAAAACTTTTATATTAACTATTTTGTTATAGTATCTTAAAATTGTTTAGATTGAAGTAAGTGCATACAATCTCAAAGACAGTATTTTATGAACAAGTATATGTACAATGTTGTTGTTATGATAATGTTTCTTTACCTTCATGTACACCATGGAAATGTTATTTTTATTTAAGGACATGATTACAGTTGATTGTTATCAAAACAGTTTTAAATTGTAAAACAGTTTTTATTAAGTAGTAGTATTGTTTTTGATTACATGTCAGTAATGGTGACAAAGTTAGGTTTGTTCTGTAAATCAGTTGCTAATTGTGTGAAACATATTCAGTGAGTAATTGCCGTGTTTCCTCTGCTTCTTGTCCTGCTATTGTCTGTTCGTCTTGATTCAGGAATGGAAAATTTCCCTCTAACTCATTACCAGTGACAATGTCCCATTCTTCCAAATATTCAGCATCTCCCTCCTCACATATATTGTGTAATATGCATGAAGCAATTACATGGTGGGCAGCATTTTCTAGAGTGCACTCTAATTGTTTAAAAAGGCATCTCCATCTGCCTTTTAGTTTTCCGAAAGCTCTTTCAATTTGGATACGTGCCCTGTTTAATCTGTAGTTAAAATACTCTTTTTCAGGTGATAGATTAGAACCTGGATAGTCCTTCATAAGGTGTTTAGAGAGGGGATAGGCTGGGTCACCAATAAGAAATGGTTCTATTACTTTCCCATTAATGATTTTTGACAATTCTTGTTCTTCTGGTACCAGCGTTCCGTTTGTTACCATTCCACCAATTTTTGATACATTGAATACTCTTGCATCATGTGCCCTCCCTGGCCATCCAGCAAAAACATCAGTGAAACGACACTCACTATCACACACAGCTTGCACTATTATTGAGTGAAAGCACTAAGTTCTATTAAAATAATCAGTATGACAATGTTCTGGTGCTTTAATTGGAATGTGTGTGCCGTCAATAGCACCCAAACATTGTGGTAAATTCCATTTCTCTAGAAAGCCACCAATAATTGCAGCCAAATTCCTACGCTCTTGAAGTCGACTGATTGTGTGTAGTTTATTTTTTTATAAGAAATAGCATAGCATCGTTTACTTTTTCATTGGCAGTTGATGCACCAACTCCGAACTTATCGCCAATCTCTCGATAGTCTAAACCTTTACCTAGTCTTTTTAAAACCATTGCAGTGATGACTTGTACAGGTACAGGTTTTCGCATTTGCGTGGTTTTACCACATAAACTGTTGAAAAAGGTACAAAGTTGAGAAAAGATTGTCTTGGGAACTCTATAACTTTCAAGCCACTTTCTGTCGTTAAAATGCCTGTATTCATTCTCTACAATTCCCTGTATCCTTGAAAATGACCATACTGTCCTTTCGTATGAATTTCTCATTGCAATCAACCTGAATATATTGTTGCTATGTGCAATGCACATCATCATCAGTTGATTTAAACATTCTTGTTGTACACCAGGTGACCTCTCAGATCCATAATAATAATTTAACAAGAATATGAATCCAGAAAAAACACAAAATTGTGAGAGAAAAACACATTGCATGCACATTTTTATGCCTTACGGTTTTTCGCGCACAAAAGAAACTATTTCCCGCCAAATATTATACTAGGCTTTGGGAACCAGTCTGAACCAGTGGTCTGAACATCCTGTTTTACCGTGTGCCCGGGCACTAGTGCCGGGCACCCAGTCTGAACGACCCCTTCAAAAACTCATTAATAATTCAGGAGCAAAACACAAAGAAAAATCATAAGCGTGTCGTGGTTTTATATGTGATAAAAAATCACGTTAATTTACATAAACTTTAGCTTTGATTTTCTCGGTTTAGACAAAGTATATTTTAAAAATTAGTAATTACTTCGCCAATGAACTCGTATAAGATGAGTCGTTTTTGAAGCTATTTAAAGCACTTGTAGTCGTGTTTTATCATCGATAAAACACTAATGCTAAATGCTAAGCCGCTGACATGATCTGATATGATCGCGGACAGGGGTCACAGAACGCCCGGGATAAATTGACTACCGATATGATAATATAATCGAGTTTCGCGATTGATTGTTTGTCATTGTTTAACAAAAATTTAAATTTCGCCTACTGCATTGCTTTTGCATTTTATATACACCGATTGTTTGCAGAACATTCTACGTAAACATCGTGAAGTTCAACGCTATAGATTCCAACATATACCCACGCAGGTATTAAACAAATTTCAACACAAACAATATATTCCCATGTGCAAGGACTTTCCCCAGTGGCTAATCCCTCAATAGGCGGCTTCTAATTGGCTCTAACTCTTTTGAACACTGCCAGATGATTGGCTCCTAAAACAAAGGGAATTGAATGTGCAGCTCGGGTAAGCAGACGTTAGTTTTTCGTCGCTTGACTGGCTTAACGTAAGAATAACAACATCTACGAGCAGGCTATGCCAGTGCCAGCTATATAATAGCTTCATCAAGTAATTTGGACGGTACATAAATTAATTGGCCAATGACTTTGATACAAACAAACTTATATCACATCAGGTTTCGAACATGGTACAACATGCAGGGACATTGTTTCCCGGCTTAGGTTAAAACGCGGATACAGAAAGATTGCAAACTTACTTCCGGACGGATATACCTAATATTGCTTAATGTGTATGTATATCTGCGTTTCATCATTTGACATAAACTTTGGTCAAAGAAAGTTCTCTCAAACTCTCGTGTCAGTGGTCAATGGAGAACAAGGGTTACATGAGAGTTGATGAGAGTTGATTAGATCATAGTTAATAGAGGAGATGGTTTGGAAACTCGTTAGCATTACAATAAAATCACAATAAACCTCATTATCTATGTTGTTCAGGTTTATGCAAAACTGTGGTCTTTCATCGTCACGTGCGTATTGTATTTTTCCCAAGTCAACCAATAGGAATGTTCAAAATGTCCTATTGTTAAAGTCATGGATGGGCAATTGGACAAAACCGTTGCTATTGGCTGGTTGAGCAAAAATACAATACGCACGTGAGGATGAAAGACCACATTTTTGCATAAACCTGAACAAAAACATAGATAGTGAGGTTTATTGTAATGCTAATAAGTTTCCAAACCATCTCCTCTATTAACTATGATTAGATATTACAGCCAGCTCAGTGTACTGAGAATTTGAAAGTGCACTGAGAATTTGAAAATGAGAAAAACTTATAGAGTATATAGGATTAGTAATTTATTGTGATGTCAAAGGCCAAAAAGCATTTGCAGGACACAGTGAAAATATATATCTAATCTGATTAATGCTTATTTCCATATTTATTGATCAAAATCCAAAATTTTTTTCATGCATGTGTTGAAGAAGGATGTTCTGCTTCTCTGTGCATATAGCCCATGAGACAAAACTTGAAATCCTGTCTGATCTGACTGAGGGTCGCAACGCAGTTCTTATGTAATAATTCCGTAACGAGTGGCTTCCGTAAAGAGTTTTTTCGTGTTATGCAGGCATATGTGATGGTATATATTACAAAAATTTAGATTTTGCGGACTGTACATGATGTTATTGTGAGAATGCGTCAACCTTGATTTAAGAACTTGGTACGTTCTTCAATTATGTTATGGAAGAACACCTCAATATATATACTTGCATGTGCGTTTGAAAATTTGCTTTATTTTAAGAAGTATTAATACGATTTATCATTTATTATTGAAGAGGGTGGCTTAATAAAAATTTACTGAGTACTCACTACTGTATATGTGCATTGCCATTGTTTTAAAAAACGAAACTGACACCAACCTCAAATGCATACGTATAGATCAACATTCAATGTCAGTCTCTCTGTCAATTCATATTCCAAAGTATTTTAAGAAAAAAATTCGGTATACACTGTTTTATTGTTACATAAGTATTGTTATTTTACCCAAAATTAAATCAGCCATGCAAGCAGACATATAGCATAGAATTTTAGGTGTAATGATATATTGAGCCAGTATTATTGAGTATATTGGTATTCTGGTAAACCCTTGGCTATATGTATATATATATATATATATATATATATATATATATATATATATATATATATATATATATATATATATATATATATATATATATATATATATATATATATATATATATATATATATATATATATATATATATATATATATATATATATGAGTATATATATAGCAGGGGGGAGAGAGAGAGAGAGAGAAAGAGGCAGGTTGGATATTTTCCACAGAACTTAAAAGAGAATTATTATAACTTATAAGACACTTACTATACGATACAATACTTTCAATTGCGACATAACTATATACCTTTAAATAGATTCCCAAGGCTATATGGCTATATGTATATATATGTATATATATGTATATATATATATATATATATATATATATATATATATATATATATATATATATATATATATATATATATATATATATATATATATATATATATATATATATAATTAATTCTTGTTGTCCGTAATTGAACGAAGAGTGCTCAATACCAATATACGATAGAGCTTAAATAATTCTTTATATATATATATATATATATAGGCCTGATAGATTTTCCACAGAACTTAAAAGAGAATTATTATAACTTATAAGAAACTTACTATACGATACAATACTTTCAATTGCGACATAACTATATACCTTTAAATAGATTCCCAAGTTTTCACCTTTGATATGATAATCCTGCATGGGTATTGGCTACTATTGCTTTGCAATTATATCAATATATCAAAATTTCTGTCAACTTCTATTCCGTCTATTACAGATTTGAGATTTGGTTAGAAATTTACAGTGTATTACGAATAAGCACTTACCGAGCAGATAAACAATTATCTGTCATCACAAAGTGACGTAAGCCAAGCAAATACCAGGTATTTGTATTCTGATAATGAACTGTACAGATCACCAAGCAGTATGATAATTTAACGACGACCAAATTTTACTTTCTTTTCAAACATAAACTTTTAATTAGTATAAAGTCACGAAATTCTGAAAAAATGTAAGACGAATATTCTCTAGTGTTCATAAATATTCTCTAATGTTAATGCTTTAAATGAAGCACGACCAATTTCTAAAGCTCAGAGTGGGATAAATTTTGGGGTGTGGGAGATTTCGATTCTTATTCAAATGCGCTCTTGCAGTTTCTTAGGGCTGAGGAATTTTGCTTTTTTAAAACTTTTACTTTCCTTTTTGCTCAAAATCATTGATAATCTGTGGTGAAATACTATAGATGTTCATTGCTCAACTTATTCAAGACGTTTTTGCCTTTTTGGGTGTTGAATTAAGGCAAACGCAGGTCAGTCGTTCAAAAGTCGACATTGAAAGGTTTATATTTAGTTCTTAAAGCATGTAACATACAACAAACAACATTCAGTACAGAAGACGGAATATCTGTACTTTCTCCTGTCTCGTTTATATTTTCTATTGTCTTATTCTATGTCTGCATTCTGTTTGTCTATTTCTGTATGTCAACTGACCAGTAACTGATCTCAAAACTAAACTGGATAGTGCATCTGCATAAATCAAGCCAATGGCGGTCCAATCTCGTACCCAGAGCATGCCCGTTCGCAGGTTAGGGACGGCCATGCTCTGCATGGTCACCACAAGTTTAATGGTGACACATATTGGAATAGATTAATTTGTGGTCATAATTTATTGCTGGGAAAGATGCATATATATTGTCTGGACAAAAAATGTTCATCATTGGCTTCTTCTAAGAGGAAGTTTTGTTTTTTTCAGAGGTCACATTTGAAAAGACATTTGCGTAATATTATATCTTTATGTACTATTTAAAAAACGAGCAGGAGTGTTTTATTAGGTTTAAAGCCACGAGCGCGCAGCGCAAGTGGCTTTAGACCTAATAAAACACGACCTGCGAGTTTTTTAAATGGCTTCAAAAACGTTTGCATAATAAGTCAAATCTTTATATAAAAATCTTTATATAAAAATCTTTATATAGTTTGCATAACAATGGTCTTTTTTTAAAGTGTTCTTTAGCTGGTATAAAGACGTATGCACGTGACTAATTTCTTACTCAAGATTGGATAATTGCTTCATGAATTATTAATGAGGTTTTGAATATTCTATTAACTACTAGCGCAGCAGTCACCCTCAGAGCAAGCGTTTTTTCCCTCTGAGATCGTGGGCTTGATTCTCGCTGCTGCGAACACTTCGCTGATATCTACAAAGAGTCATGCAGTCAACGCTCCAGGTGTTTCGGTTTCATTCCAAAGGGAATGTCGACAGGATGGGTTGAAATAAGTCCCGAACTGACCCACTGTTGCTGTACTCCGTGATCAAACATTAGTCATAAGGTTGCAGCCCCCTTAAAGCAACTCTTCGAATCAATCTGCAAGTTGAGCTACATCGATACCATTCGCAGATTGTGCACACATTGAGAAATAAGTTTAATTCACATTATAAATGGAGTTATTTATTACATTCATAACAGTTTACATCGCAACTAGCACTGCCCGCCCCCGTTTTTGTCTTTGCATATTATATTTCATTTTACGATGAATAGTTCAGTTGCGGAAATTTACTTTTTTGGTGGTGGGGCAAAGCCACCTGAATTTCATACACACCCCCCATTTAAACTCACATTTGGCTGTTTTTAACATTTTGTCGGGTTAAAGTTTTCGATAAATACTGTTTATGGCAAAGGTGGTGGTGAACTTTTCCAGGATGGAAATCGAAATTGCCTTATCCCACCAAAATTTCCGCCACTAAACACGTCAATCATATAGCAGGTCTAATTCTATCGTAACCTAGTGCGTTTTTGTTACTCCATACAGTTAATCGGTGCAATTACTTGACGTCTATGGATGGTCCTGAATACATAGGGCTTTTTTGATGTCATGATCAGTTTAGAAGACATCAATAATTGTTAGTTGGTGATACTGATGGTGTCATGGTGATGATATTGTTATGCTCAAGTTAAATTCTTATTATTTGAAAGATTTTGCAAATGTAGTGACATTAATAGGCCTATATCGTCTTCAAACATCGAGTGTTTTAGACAGCGAGGGGTATGTATTGCATTGATAATATTATGATTTTTGATGTTCATGCAGTTGTCAAAACGTATTTTCATTTCTTTGTTATAATTCTTTTCAAATGCTGTAATTGGCATACAAAAATTTGACTACAGAAACAATGCCATGTTTTCATGCATCAGTTTCTAGCACAATCGTTAACACATGCTGCATTGTCAAACCCCAGCTTTTCTAAAGCGGTATCTAATCTTAGACAGATAGAGTACGGGCCCTTTACATTTGAAACGTTGCTACCACTTCCTTCTTGGAATATAACTTGGCCATCGTCAGAGGAATTTTCTTCACTCCACGTACTACTACCATCACTATCGTTATCGTCGGAGCTCGTCTGTTCTAGTGATGCGTTTTCATGCGAAGTGGAACTTGTTGACTTGGGCTGTTCTGGTGGGAGAACGTCAACCGTTTCCGAAACATCATCACCATCATCTTCGTCGGAGCTCGTTGTCTGTTCCGATGAGGGGTTTTCATGCAAAGTGGATTTTGTTGACTTGGGCTGTTCTGGTGGGAGAATGTCAACCGTTTCGGAAACATCGTCACCATCATCGTCGTCGGAGCTCGTTGTCTGTTCCGATGAGGCGTTTTCATGCGAAGTGGAACTTGTTGACTTGGGCTGTTCTGGTGGGAGAACGTCAACCATTCCGAAAATATCATCACTATCATCATCTTCGGAGCTCGTTTGTTCCGATGAAGCATTTTCATGCCAAGTGGAACTTGTTGACTCGGGCTGTTCTGGCAAGCGAAGCTCGTCTACTTCGCAAACACCATAAGCGAAAACCTGTTTCTTCTCATTTTTGTCATGAAAGGAAACAAGAGAGCCTGAGTCTCCGCCTTTTAAGAATGGACCACCACATCCTTTTACAACGATTGCATTTTGAAATAAGTTCCCTTCGTCGCTGTAACTAACATTGCACGAAACAATATGGCCGCAGGTCAATGCCGACGAATATCCGATTTTCTCCACCTTCACTGGATTCTGACCAGTCATGTCAAGCAATTCATCCCATATACTACTCCAATCCGGAGAATTAACACCCGTTATTTTGCAATCAATTTCAGTATCTATAATTTTCAGAGACAAAATGTCACATTCATCATCAAAATGATAATTGTGAAAATCACCAAGGGCCGTATAGTTACTTCCATCGTCTCCAAATGGGATGGGCTCGTTGTTGTCTTCTACGCTGCCTTCTGTAAACCAATATTCTTTTTCTTTGGCTTCATCAACATAAGTTGAAAGCGAACTGCAGATTTCCTGGATGTCTTCTACCTTATTAAATGCAGCATTGAAAAAGGTTTCATCATTTGCACAACCAACATGGAAGCAGGTGAGTGCATAATGGTGTCCATGGGAGTAGCAAAACATGGTTAATGTTCCAGTTCCTCGCACCTCGGGTAAACCATCTCTCTCGTTTTCCTCAGGTATTCGTAAAGGGCTTGGATCGTTATAACGCCTGTTAATGCAAGCTAGTACACCACCACCAGGTGACGCGAGAACCGACGATACAGATGATGATGCCGACGATTCGGCACTTGATTCACTTGAATCTGCCAAATATTTTATTTTTGGTTTCCTTTTAGGCTCTTGCAGGAGTTCAAAATACTCCTTTGGGTAACACTTAAATTTGTCTTCAAGATCGCGTCGTACAACTGATTTCTTCACACCTCTTTTAACTGTGAGAAAAAGATGTAGACGAGGGATCTTTCTGTTGGGACCAGTTATACCATATGCTCCACACAACCAAGGAAAACTATACAGAAGTGAATGCAGTATTAGACTATTCGTAATACAGAAACAGCTACCAAACTTAATTAATTTATAGTTTTACTTTCATATGAACACATTGCCGTCCAAACAGGATCGAGATGATATTTCTTTGATGTAACGTAACGCGTTCATTGTTTCATTTCAAGTTTTTAATTTTGTGAACTAGAACAAAATTAATTACTATAGACGTGCAAGTTACGACGCGTGTAGTCGCAACGATTTGTCAACATGCCTCGCAAGACGTCAGATTGTCTTTTTAATACGTACTATCAAACACTTGCAACAAAGCAGGCGCCGTTCCAAAATTACTTTAAATTTTTCAATACTTTAGTTTAACTGACACCATAAATCCATGCGTTGAAACGGAAGGTCGTTCCAGTTACGTTCATTTCAATGGAAAAAACATACCTTTTCAGTTCTTTGTGAATTTCCTTTTTCAGCTTTCGCTTAGAGTCGAGGAAAGTAGCTTTAAACCACGTGAACTGTTCATGGATTTCGTTGTGTTTCCGCTTGGTTTCTACATTTGCAAGAAATATTTAACAGTTTTTGAATGAAATTACATGAGCAGGATATGAAAAATTATATATCAAGCCCGAGGTTTGTGTTATCAACCAAAGCGAGAGATCAAGCGCAAAATGTGTTTCAATGTGTTTTTTTTAGGTCTACTGTTTCAGAATGAATTATTTTAAACATAGGCAGCCCACTAAACGACTGAATTTAAATTAAAACTACAATGAAATTATAAAATTTAACGAAAATAATCACAAATTAGCGAAATATATTGCAAAATGTAGCTTATATTAAATCTCCACTCGATTGACCTATCGGCGAACTGACGTATATTAAGGTATACTTTAATATACGTCAGTTCGCCGATAGGTCAATCGAGTGGAGATTTAATATAAGCTACATTTTGCAATATATTTCGCTAATTTGTGATTATTTTCGTTAAATTTTATAATTTCATTGTAGTTTTAATTTAAATCCAGTCGTTTAGTGGGCTGCCTATGATTTTAAACGATTAAAAAAACTGTAAACAGTTGTTTCGAATAATGGAATCACAAATCACTCAAAAAGAGAAATCCCATTCCCGTTTCCAAAATGTTTGATCCCTTTCTCAGCGGTTAAATGACCCAGTCTCAGTGCAGTAAATCGCACTTTCCGAGTCCAAAAAGAAGCAAAACACGAGATATTTTTTCGCATGCAGTTAATAAAAGCAAATAAACTAAACTAAACTAAACTAAACTAAACTAAAAATCAAAATTGTAAGCATAATCACTGCAGGTAGGCCTATATACTATCTAATCTAAAAGCTTTTTTTAATTACCTCGCACTTGCACTGATGTCGATTCTTTTTGGCTAGACGAAACTTTATCGTAACCTACATGCGTAGTGTACAACACATCATTGTAAACTGAAAACAAAAAATTGATATCTTAATCTGATCCAATTATTATATCCAATCAGCGAGCCGTTGCCTCACGAGGTTTCATATACAGGGCCGCACAGAGAAATTTGGGGGCCCGAGTGATTTCCTATCGTCAAAGACTCTTGAATTTTATGTGCTCTTTTATATTAAAGATTGATTTCCATATTCTTGAACATTTTATAGAACAATTAGGCCTGTTTTATACGTCGAATTTCGGCCGCGTCGAATGCAATTCAAACAATAGATAATGAGATGATAAACCTCATTAAGTTTCATAATCTATTGTTTAAATTGCATTGGACGTATAAAACAGGCCTTAGGCTTAGTATAGGTTATTTCCTTCAATGCCTTCAATTGTGAATATTTATATGTAACATTTTCAATGCGTATTCTACACTTAAATAGTTCAGGTGAGGCGGGGAGTTCGGGGAAAATTTTGAAATCAGAACTCCTAGAATAGCAATTCCTGTATTCTGCCTTCTGGGAAAATATTCAACTGCATGTGATTTTTGTGCATATTATGTTACTTTATCCTTTTTGTCCCATGCAACCCTTCTGGGCGGCCCTGCCCCTGTATACATATAGCTACATACAGTTTGAATCCGATGTATAATCGTTGTCGTCAAACTCGAGTTGTTCTATCTTGCTTGCGATGCTGTCGATATCATTTTGTTGACTATACTGGCACACTCCCAGCGCACATAGTTGACAAAGTTTCCTTTGATGCGGAGCAGACATCTGCTGGGATATATCTGTTCTCGGTTGTACTGGTGGTGGGAACATCAATTTCACCATAGAACTTTTGTTGCACTTTATTCAGCAGTTCTGTGACCACACGTTCTACGTCTGAATCCTCCCACTTAGCAGTTTCAAATACGTCGTTGCAATTTTTGCACTTTTGTCCCCCTAGAAACAGCTTCACGTTACCACGTCGTTCATTTTGGGAAGGAGGAAGACGATAGTGAAATATTGCTCCACCGTTAACGGACGTCCATCTATTGCTGCATGTACTATACAGTCAAACCTTGCCATTCCTTTGCGTCGCATTTCTAGCCATCCGCTTTCCTGCTCTACATTGCTTACTATTTCCAAATTCCACGGGTCATCCAGGTCATAGAACTGGTCGTCGAATTTTGTCTTCCATTCTTGATGAGCCATATTGCTGTAGTCTAAAACAATTATAAACTAAATGCTTATCTCATCAGTTTTTTTCAAACAGTTTGTATATGACATATCGTCTAATTTCTCTCTTTCGACACAGTAAATAAAACCTATAATTGCTAATTGTAAAAATTGTCAAAACCTAATTAAAAACTAAGACTCAAAGTGTGGCATATTAAAAATATCATTCATTGGTCATATATGCAAAGGATTTAAAAACGTGTAAATGGATTTATTAAACCGTGAGATTGTCGGATTGGAGGGATTCAACTACCAATTCGACGTTTCGAGCGAAGGCTCTTTGTCGTCTAACTTCCCGGCGACGAAGGCGTTGGCTTTTTCAACACAGACCGACCGCCTTGGGCAAAACAAAAATAATTCCATAGGGAAGTTAGTGACGATGAAGGACCTTCGCTCGAAAAGTAGTTGAATTCATGTAGTTGAATTCTTCTCAATCCTGACAAACAGACCGTAATTCGGGTTTATTAAACCTTGTGTATACAATAACATACACATGGAAAACACTTTAACTGATCATGACATACACCCCTTAGCCCTTAATATAGGTCTGGTTCGGACGGTCGGACGAAGCACCTTCAAAACGTCGAAAATAGTTCCAAGTTTTGAGGAATGTATGCCAACATATAAATGTCAACTAATTTCCAATTCTTTGTTCCCGGCATTGCATGCGGCCGTGCAGCAGTCGACGGAAACTTCTAACATTTTTCACACACAATTAAAAAAATAATTTTCCAACTTACATAAAATTTCTTCGATTTCAGATCAACTCTGCCAGCTAGCTTCACCAAGTAATTTGAACTGCGCAATGAATGAAATATTTATAATATTTTCTATAAAATGAAACTAGACGTGTAGTTAAGTTGTTGCAGCCGCAAAAAATGAAAACAATTACAAAGCAGTTTGGGACCTGTTTTGCCCGTTGCTATAATAATGAATTTATCACATCAACTCGGTGGCGAGAACACGAATAGGAATGGAGGCGTCTGCTCCCCTCTCCACTTTTCTTCGAGACCAATTTTGCAGTTTCTGATGAGAAACAAGTCCCGAGAGAGTTTTATCAATGAAAACACTTAAAGTCAGGGTGCCAAAAATTGAAGTATCTAGTATCGCCTTATTTTGTGTCTATATTGTATATTAAATATTCATAATTCTCTGTTTATACCTGTTAAAACAATTTTCTTAGTGGTTAGATTTTAAAACCGCGTTGGTTTTGCCAGGGGCGCACATTAGGGGGGGTGTGGGGGGGTGTGTGTGACACCCCCCCATGTTTTGTGAAATATATCTAAAAAGTCGGTCCTGAAACCTGAATGGGACGAAAAAGTCGGTCCGGCTAAAATCTGAAAGATATAATTTTGTGTCGATTTATATGATACTATCAACTTCCGTGTTGCAACAGTTCAGCCAACATAATGCGATCCGATTACTTAAAATGCGCATTGTTAGTCTTGTCGTAAAAGCTGAAACTTTGGAAGGCGGAAGTAAATCAGCGGCGTAGCCAAGATGGGGGCTCGGGGGGCTTTGCAATGGGCAGAAGGACTGCCCTTGTGGAAAGCTGAAATCCGGGCAGAAGTTGGGGTGGGGGTACGATGTGTGAATAATGATACCCATCTCTTCTGTTTGCCAATAAAAGTTGAAGTCTTCCCTACCTAGAATCCTAACTCCAGTACAAAATGCCTATATATCGTTGTTTTAATGCACTAAGTGTCAATTGAAACCCCGGCACCCCGACCCCCGGGAAAGAGCGGGGAAATTAACATTTTGACAATGTTAAACTTTGGTAATTTCCCCGCCACCGGAGGAATATTGACTGTTAAAGTTACCGCCCCTATGGCCCGGCACTTTGCAAATTTTCACGACTTGGGAAATGGGAAATCGTTGAAGTATAAAATGTTCACAACATGTGAAGGCAACTGCTTGATCTTAAACTTTGATCCGCATCAAAAGATACTGAATAATCTACGTTTCGACTATTTTGCAGTCATCATCAGGAAAGTGAAAATATATTCCTTTTTTTTTAAGAAAAACTATGAGGAAACAATGATAAAACGGACAAAAGTTTATAAAATATCTTCTCTGACTTCGAAGATTCCGCCATGTTGCCACGACGATAAACACGTTCCAGTCCACTTTCGTATCAGCCGCGCGTTAAAGTCCGGCTAATAAATTGACTTGTTATTTCCCCTGTACCCCGGGGGAAATGGTGCATTAAACCCACGTTAATCCATGGCCATTCCCCCGTTAATTCCCCGCCCGGGGGTCGGGGGGCCGGGGTTTCAATTGACTAGTGCATAAAGCACATTTGAACTTGAATTTGCGCTCAAAGCAGCACTCATGACCGACTTATACAAAAACGAAGACATGCTATTTTACTGTTGTATTTGCGTGTACAATACAATGTTTTACATAAATATTTTTTCGATCTAACAACATTAGGCGACTTAAAAATGCCTTTTTATGGTTGTAACTGTTCTTCAAACCTCGTCCTAAAATACGTGAAATAGCATCCTAATGAATCTAGAAATTCAAAATTTTCCTCGTGCCTATGCCTATGGCGCTCGCATCCGAAATCCATAAAAATTTTGCCCCCCCCCCCCCTTCGAAAGTTTAGACCACTGCAAAAGTTCTGAAAAACTGAACGTTTATTTAAACTCTATACATAAATATTTTTCGATCTAATAACATTAGGCGACTTAAGGGGGGGGTACACATGGATTGATGGCCATTTTTGAAATGGCTGTAATTTTAAAGATATTCACCAGAGTTATGACAAACTATATATCAGTAGAAAGCTTATGACCTATAGAAACTAAAAATACTAATCACTAGTACCTAACGTCCTTTGTAACCTGACACCAGGCCGGCAATCATACCACATGCTGTGCAAAACTAGGGTGCATTTGAGAAAAGATATCTGCTTATAAATTGCTTGGAATTTTAAGAAATTTTATCAGTAAGTAGTATAGGCATCATTATCTTAAATGAGCATAGAACTTTTTTGTATGATAAATCTAGTGGTCACAGCAGAGGTACAAAGTTAACATAGGTTTTTTCGATAATATTTTTTGCCATAAAATGTATTCTACACAAGATACAGAAATTTCCTATGCTTAATTAAGACAGCTCTAATAAAAGAATAAGCCCTGAAAATTTCAGGACAATTGGTTAAATACATCATGAGATATCTTTTCTCAAAGACGGAAAATGTACATTCCGAGAAAACAAGTGTTAAAGTTTTTAAACAACTGTTCGAGCTGTTCCTGACAGGTTTCAGGGACTTTAGCCTAATTTTTTGTCATTAGAAGTACTTTTAGCACTTCAGAAGCCTCCAGCCTCATAGGTTGTCCCTTCTGCTTCTCATAGAGCTTCTTCTCTCGGTTTTCTTTTGGAGCTGCTCCACCTGTCGACGTCTGTTGTTTATTTCAGATGTCTGGCGGTTAGACTTTCTGACCTGTTTCTTGTCTTTTAAGAGCAAACTTAGTTTTTCCTGCAGTTTGATGTTTGGTTTAAAAGATGTTCCTGTGTGTTAACTTAAATGACTCTATTGGTATAGCTAAATTTTCCATAGTTTTCTTTGCCGAACCCTCTTGCTGGTAATAAGGATGTTTAAAGATGCACACTCCACTCATCGTGCTTACCAAAGGAACATGCAGACCAACATTTACCACAGTTTTTTGTATATGTGAATCAATTGTCAATACCAAATTACATGATTTTGTAAGATAACATTGTCTGTAACTGTATTCTTGTCCTATTGCTGCAAGTGGTACACTCGGTAAACATATTCAGCCCAAAACAAGCTCTCAGACTGACAGACTTGGTACACCTTGACATGTAATTACAGTACCTAAAATGCAGTACAGAAACAACCTCATTAATATTAATACCAAGAAGCATTAAAATAGTAAAATTATAACAATGAAGCAAGAAATAATGTATTGATATCTGTACCAAAATTGGGTAGAGAAAATCGATCTCTTGATATCATAATATTGCAAATATGCAATAATTACTAATTATATTATTAACATTTTTGAGTTATTGTATACTAGAATCAATCATTCAATGATAGAAAAATACTTACATCCACAACTTTTAAGTTCAGCAGAATAAACGTTTGAAGATCTGTTTATAAGACGTCCAAGAATCCAAATCGAAGATGACTGTTGATATTTGGCATTGAATGCCAATTGAATAATGCCCGATTATTGCCTGAATGTGTTCACGTTTTATCGTCGTCTTTATAGCGCATTTCTTCACCCCAGTGAATAAAGTTTCGTTTTAATGTTTTCTGTGAACCATTATTAGTTATTTTTAACCATATGTTAAGAAATATATACACAAAAGTGATCAATATTTATTAAATATTGAAACACATTTTCGAGTTTGTTCTGTTTGAATCACCAGTTCTCAAAAAATGCATCTATGCGCATAATCGCCACGTAAATCCGCTGCAAAATCATCTAGAGATGAGCCTGTATCATTATTTTATATTAGGGAGGGGAGGGACAGCAGTATATTGGTAAAAACATGAAAAATATGAAGGATTCTGCCTTTCGTTACCATGGAAACCAAGCTAAAAATTATAGTGAGGTGGTTAAAAACAGCTCCTGACAGAACAATTTTTTAAATTCAAGCAAATAAATACTTTCACAACATCAATTACATGCCACAGTAACTATTTAGCTCAAAAAATGAAAATCGATTTTTTCAAATGATTTCATGTGTACCCCCCCCTTAAAAATATAATGCCTTTTTGTGGTTGTAACTTTTCTTCAAACCTGGTCCTAAAATACGTGAAAAAGCGTTCTAATGACTCTAGAAATTCAAAATTTTCCCTCCGAACGGTTTAGACCGCTGCAAAAGTTCTGAAAAACTGAACGTTTATTTAAACTGTTGGAATACTATCCCCGTCTTACCGTCTATGCACTTTAAATAGTTGGCTTTTCTTACCAAACAGAAATACTACAAAAGTCGGTCCCAAAACGTAGGACACCCCCCCAAATTTTTTTCGAATGTGCGCCCCTGTGTTTTTGCGTGGAGTTGTTTTTCCAGAACGCAGTAAATGCCATTTGAATGAGCGAGTGTGGTTAGGGGGTGGGCGGGGGGTATTATGAACATTGTTTCAGGGTTACTTCATATAAGCAAAATATTGTGGTGCTTAAATTTTCCTGTTTCAGTGGGCAGAGATATTAATTCATTCTTTGCATTCCTTACGTAATAAGAATTTGTATAATCATCAGTTAGCCATCTTTTGCAAAAAACCCAACGAAGCACGCATATTCCTCAATGACACCGTAATAATTTTCATTTATTTTTGCTATCTAACAGAAAGAATGATTGTAAAGTCCTAACCGAATCTCAATGGACCTTTCCCCTTATAACTAAAATTTCGATCTGTACAAAAATTTCATCACAGCTTGAAAGAGCATCACAAAATTAGTAATAATCCAAAGTTTTGTTGCAAAATCTTGTAAAATGCGGATAATATAGCCTTGCGAAGTTTGCCGTTTTTCAGTCATTTTGTATTACAAACGGGAAATTGACATCCGATTCGGGGGTTGGGGCTGCAATTTCCCGTTTGTAATGCAAAATGACTGAAAATTGCAAACTTCGCAAGGCTCTATTTTCCTCATTTTACAACATTTCGCAACGAAACTTTGGAATATTACTAATTTTGTGATGCTCTTTAAAGCTGTGATGAAATATTTGTCTAGACTTGCCTAGATCAAAATTTTGGTTATAAGGGGAAAGGTCTATTGGCTCCTATAAATGCTTACAGATGTAAAATAAATTGTGAGTATTACTTGTGATCGCATTTCATTTTCTCCTAACCTCTTTATTTATCAAACACAAAGACTTTACTTCCTTCCATCGTGAGCTAGCAACTATAAGCGTACGTCGAAAAATTATAAACTTTCCAGAGTTTGCCAGAATAATGTACAATAATTTCAAAATAAAAAGATGACAACAGCTGCAAGATTACGGGTCATTCGCGCAGGTATGTTCTTGCATTTCTATTTTAAAAATCGGCAATTATGAAGCATATTTAATGCCGTGTAAAATCAAGGAGACAAGCGACTACAAAAGCGTCGCATTATTTACTTGATCAGATAAGTAACACAGGAAAATTCGGTCAAGATGTTGACTTTTGAACGTGGTTTATTGACCGTATTAAAACAGGTTGTTCGGCATTAAAAACTGGCCGAACAAATCGATTAAAGATCAATGCCTTGCCTATATTTGTTTGGGTTTCGGCATGGACAATTACTCTTAAAATATTTTATTGTTTTGGAATGTTTTTGAATGTTGCTATTATATTATATGTCACAATTATATTATTTAAACCGTTTATATGTTTTGAGAGTATTAATCTGTTCTTCATTTGTGACATGGAATGTATTTTTCGATAGCAACTGTTGACATATTATAGCCTATATTTTTGCGGCATACATTTGGTTTATTATAAATATTATAAACAAACATATTTTTTATACAACTCTGTATGATTTTCTAAACTCCGCATTTGCTGTGTTGTGACAGAATTTTTTATGGTTTAAAGTTTAAAATCTGAAGTATTTTGACATTTGATTGTCTATAAAGGAAGTCATATTTATTTATATCGTAAAAGCATTTAAACTTAAAAGCCTATTATATTAAATTGTCATTTTGATAATGCATTGAATTTCCTCTTGTTAATATTAAATATGCCAAAAGAGATTTCCTATTAAATATTAATTTTTCCATGTAAACTTATTAAGCTACAATACATCCTAATGTTTCCATTTCATCTTTTGGGACAATCTGAGAAAAATGTACGGAATGATATAATTATACGTATCTCAAATCAATTGTGTGATAGCACACAGTCAAGTAAAAATTGTCTGCTGTTAGACAGAGTAGCATAACCAAGCCGCAATGTGCCAATTGCTGTTGAAAATTGTGAGAACTGCAAATGACATGTGATAAATGATAATGCTGCTGGAAATGATATTATCAATGAGAATTTTTGTTGATGAGGATTTTAAATTTGATTCTTCTAAGGGCTTTGTTGCCACAATAATTATGAACAGCGGGGTATTTTTAAAAGAGAAACTGAATTTAACTTTGAGTTATTTTTTCTTTATTATTCTGAATGCATTCTAAAACGTGACTATGTGACAAATGATAGTGCTCTAACATTGTTAGTCTAAGTAATTTTAGAACAATGTCCAAAAGCTATAAATGCAATGTACATCATGTTCTGTTTTTGAAATATTGAGAAAGACAAAACTACCAAAATATTGCTGTTGGTCTGCCATCGAAATGTAAAATATCAACAGCAGTTTTTGCAGATGAGGATTAACCCATTAAGCTGCAGAGCTTCCCCATTGACAAGTAAAATCGTCTGGTGTTAGACAAGCAGAAAAATAAGTAGGGCGCACTGGGGCACATTGCGGCTCAGTGGGAACAACTAACAGATTTTTTGGTTATACCCATTAAGCTGCAGAGCTTTCCCATTGACAGCTTTGTTGCTTTTTCTGACGGCTTTGTTGCTACAGTAATTATGAACAGCTGGGTATTTTTAAAAGAGAAACTGAATTTAATTTTGAGTTGTTTTTCTTTATTATTCTGAATGCATTCTAAAACATGACTATGTGACAAATGATAGTGCTCTAACATTGTTAGTCTAAGTAATTTTAGAACAATGTCCAAAAGCTATAAATGTACTGTACATCATGTTCTGTTTTTGAAGTATTGAGAAAGACAAAATTACCAAAAAATTGCTGTTGGTCCGCCATCAAAATGTAAAATATCAACAGCAGTTTTTTTAACCCATTAAGCTGCAGAGCTTTCCCATTGACGAGTAAAATCGCCTGGTGTTAGACAAGCAAAAAAATAAATAGGGCGCACGGGGGTGCATTGTGGCTCAATGGGCTAACCCATTAAGCTGCAGAGCTTCCTCATTGATGAGTAAAATCATCTGGCATTAGACAAGTAAAAAAATAAGTAGGGCGCACTGGGGTACATCGCAGCTCAATGGGTTAATCAAAATTGTAAGGACTGCAATGGAGTGCCTTGCAACTTGGATCAGTGTTCACTTGAATTTGAATTTATTGAATTAGTTATCAGCTTTACAGTGACAACAGGAGAAAGAAACAGGGCAAAGCCCCAATTGACATCAAACCCCTGACGGCTAAAAAACATGATAAAATATTAATAATAAAATTAGTGGTACAGGTATTGCAGTTATGCAGTACATCCTATAACTATTACTTTTTATTCCGAGCCACTCAAATATTTTTGAAAACAATTTCCCGATAAATCCGAGAACAAACATTCCTGAAAATTTTGACATGAAAACATGATACAGTTTTTGGGATGAGAGAAAGGGTGTTACTAATTAAGGGGAGGGGTAATGTGTGGGGGTACCAATCCTGAAACATGAGAAATATAATATCCAGTGACCTTAAAACATTAAAAATAAAAGGTTTAGCGCTTAGGCCATATAAAATAAATTCCTTGATTCTCATCACCGCCCGACAATATTTTGGTTTCCGCGTTGATATATTTTTGTATTTTGTTATAAAATATAAATTTACCGCCCGACCGAGCATCATCAGAGATTTAGTTAATTTTATATTTTATATTGGAATTTTTGCGATATAAAAGTGTTTTATCATATTGCAACATGTTCAGGGATGCTTGGAATACTGAAGGAAAAAATGGGCTTATAGCCTTATTACAACGATTTGTGTGGACCCTTATGCACTGTTCATTAGTGCATGTGCAATAATCCACTTATATTAGCGTTCTTCTATAATATATTTAAGGGCAAATATAAAAAGATGTCCCTCTCCAATTTTTTAAATTTTAAACTTTTTTTTATATTTTGACATAAAATATAAAATATAAACCTCCCGCCTCTTGGGACTTTTTAAAATTTAGCGATGAAAATCAAGGAATTTATTTTATATGGCCTTATGTAAAATAACAAATTTATTAGGAACCTGAAATACGTACTGTAAAAGGAGCATTAAAATGTAAGCAACAACCATAGTAAGCAAAGGCAAATAACAGTCCGTACTGGGTGTGGGTTACATTTGCATTCATGATTTATGAAATTTGAAACCTGCATTTCCCAATCAAAACATAGCTAAAATCAAGACACAAATGATGGAAGATATTGTCCAGAAAGTCTTCAAATACTGCTAAAAATGGATATTATATATGCTAATACAGTACATGCCATCCATGACAGGATTAAAAAATGTTTAAATTAACCCATTAAGCGCCAGCGCTCTCCTCTTGACGAGTAAAATCGTCTGGCGTTAGACAGAGTAAAACACTAAAGTAGGGTGCGTCAGGGTGCAATGCGACTCAATGGGTTAAAAAAAGATGACTGAACGAAGAACAAATTATGAAATTACCCCAACACAGAGCAGAAAAATACCCTATTAATTACCCCCTTTATTAATGTGTTACCATTTTTTTGTTCTCAATTATAGTGACCCTACTGTTGCTGTTAGCAAGAGAGTCTGTATCGATATTGTTTAACAAGACTTCATACATTGAAACAAAGCCTTTAGACATTACAAAACGATTTACTCTATCGTTCAGAACTTGTGAGGGCGGTAGCCTTCTACGACAAATTGGGAATAATGGTTACTTTGAACTTGCAGTTTTGCCTGGAGTAGTGGACTATGGAACAAATCGATTCACTGAAAGCTCATTAGCGTTAAGATGGAGAACAGCTGGTAGTCTTAACTTGACAGTTTTAAATGTTGGCAACAAGTCGGATCAAAATATACCATATCATGTAGTGTTTACACCTAGAACTGCCAGTCTGAATGCAACGTTGTCTGTCAGTCTTGGTAGTAAGGTATATGTAGTTGACGTTCCTCATACAATATATAATGTTGTTGGCAAAAATTTGACCCTAGGGCAAGGGTTTATTGGTTGTATTACATTTGGAGACAAATTTGATGTTGTAAATGCAACAAAACGAGTTGGGACATCAAAAGATTGCCCTTTGGATGGCGGGGAAAGATGCAATCGCAAAGGTAAGACGGCTGAATATGACACGTATTAAAGGCTGGATTTTGATGGAAATAGTGGGGGAGGTGCGGTGGTTTAGCTCACGACCCCCATGGAAAGTTAGGGCTTAGAACGGGTCAAAGTCACATAGTGTACATTATAACTGTACAACTCAACCAATTTTACCCTTTATTTAATACAATTACTACAAAGTTTCTTTCAAAACATTGCATTGAAAAAGGGTACTTGACACAGAGATAATTGGCTATCACTGTTTCAATTTGACAGAAAAAAAAAACTTTCTTACGAAGTGTTGACTCTAAGCAACCAAAAATGTCAAATTTTCACTTTGATTTATCATTGCAACTTTCCCAAGGGGAGGTAGGTGCATGACTTTTCAGAGGAGGTGCAAAAATTCTAAGGGGAGGTGCAAAACAATCTCGGGGGAGGTACGCATTCCCCCACACCTCCCCTCAAAATCAGGCCATGATATACATGTTTGTTGTTCTGTTACTTTTTACAATTTATCTTTTGTCTATAAAGATATGTGCAGTGACTGGATATTTGCTGTAGCTAGCAGTCAGTACAATAGATTCGCTTGTTAAAGTGCAGTACTGTATGTTTGAAAATAGGACTGTAGATATAACAACCTCGACATGTTTACGTATCTAACCTTGATATTTAAAGCATTCTGAGTATTTTCTCATCAGCTCACAAATCAATTAAACTATTTCAAGAAATAAACACGTTCTAACACTAGAAGTTTTACTAAATACATCTCTATTCAAAAAGCTGAAAACGCATCGCTAAACAAATAATAATATACAGTATGGTCAAGTACATTTTTATTAGGGTGGCGCTGGACTTCTTTAGTGGATGCTAGCCATCACTAGGTTGGGTGTCCCCCCCCTGCACGCTCACAGTAAATCTGCCCCTGCAATTTGTAATTGTGCATGTTATAAATAGACAATTCCCATTACAGATTAATTTTATAACTAGGCAAGGAGATGCAAATAAATCACCACAGCTGGAAAGAGCATACTAAAATGAGTAAAACCGCAAAGTTTGGTTTCGAAATGTTGTAAAAAGCAGAAAATATAGCCTTGCAAAGTTCGCAAATTTTGTATACTTTTGTATTGCGTGCGGAAATTGCTACCACATTTGGGCCGAAATGGTTAGCAATTTCCGCACGCAATATACAAAAGTATACAAAATTTGCAAACTTTGCAATGCTACTGTATATTTTCCGCATTTTATACCATTTCGCAACCAAACTTTGCAATTTTACTCATTTTACTATGCTCTTTCTAGCTATGGTGCATGATTTATTTGCATCTCCTTGCTTAGTTTTAAAATTAGTCTATAATGGGAATTGTCAATTACACACAAATACAGTATGTTGTAATGTACATGTATCTCTCTTTGCAGCATGTCCTGACGGCTATAAAGGATACTATTGTGAAATTAATATTGACGATTGTGCTTCGTCGCCTTGCCACCACGCCTCAAGATGTTTAGACGGGATAGCAAATTACACGTGTCAGTGTGGTCCAGCATGGTCGGGCAGAAATTGTGACGAACTGAAAAACGAAACATTGTGCGATGATAATCCATGTTTACACAACGGCATTTGTAGCCTTGTATCGAATTTTAATAATTATACATGTACTTGCCGTGTCCCTTATACCGGTCGGAATTGTAACGAGACTCTGAATCCTTGTGGAAGTATGCCGTGCCAAAATAACGCAACGTGTACAAATGTGAGAGACACTGATTTTTATTGCAAATGCCCCAAAGGTAAGTTTAATGTTAAGTTTAATTTTGTCGAGTTTTGTGGAAACCAAAAAGCATGTGAAATTGTGACACATCTGCATGTCTGCAGATTAATTGTGCACACACAAAAATCTCACATCTTGTAACAAGTTAATCAACAAGCCGTCAACAAGTTGTCTTCGCATGTCACAAGTTGTCAACAAGTTTGGAACAAGCTGTTAACAGGCTTGTTACAAGGTTGTTCCAACAAGTCCGATACAGTCATGATATAACAGACAGTATTGTTACAACCTTGTGTCGTCAACCTTGTAACATTCTTGTTTATCATGACTGTGTCACACTTTTTTTTCTGTGTTAGTGCAATGCACTCAGGTGAATATGATGCTTGTGATGATACTCTGAGTGTATATCCACACTGGGAAGGCTTGAAAAATATGCTTGCATGGCCACGGTGGGAAACGACCTTTAGAACAACCTTGTGACAAGTCTGATAATGCCATCAAGCTTGTTGCAAGTTGTTGACAGCTTGATCCAAACTTGTTACAACAACTGGGAACAAGCAGTGCGAAGACAACTTGTTGACAGCTTGTGAACAGATTTGTAACAGCTTGTTTGCAGACTTGTAACAACTTGTGCGTTTTCACTGTGTACTAAAAACGTGTGTTATCACACGTGAAATCGCACAAGTTGTAACAAACTTGTAGCAGACTTGTAGCAATGCTGTTCCAACAACTTGTCAACAGGATGTGTTTGCACTGATTGTTCCCGGCTTGTTGACAAGTGTTCAACGGCTTGTTGGCAATTTGCTACAAGGTTGTTGAGCTCAACAGCCTTGTTACAAGTTGTTCCAACAACTTGTTATTGTCTTGCAATTCCACACTTTGTCAGCAAGTTGCAAGTGACAACCTTGTGGCAACTTGATAAAATAACAGCATTGTTACAACTTGTTGACAAGCTTGCTCCAAGCCTGCTGCGAACACATCTTGTTGACAAGTTGTGAGTGACAACCTTAAGTTGTAGCAACTTGATAAAATAACAGCATTGTTACAACTTGTTGACAAGCTTGCTACAAGCTTGTTGCGAACACACGAGTTGTACAATGTATATAATTATACAGTATATTAATACAGTATAATCTGTACACATACATGTTTCGGCGTCTTACACGCGTAAAAACCTCACATGTTGTAGCAACATCACTGTTCATGACTGTATCAGACTTATTGGAACAACCTTGTCACAAGTCTGATTATGCCATCAAGCTTGTTAATACAAGTAGGTACAAGTTTATCAGTGCAGTACGACCAATATTACACGTATATACAATACGTTTTCCTATATTAATATTCGCTAACCAGGCTGTCAAATTAATATATTCCCACCATATATTTTCAGGTTTTACTGGAAAACGTTGCGAAAGCGACATCGATGATTGCGCGCGTGTTGACTGTGGTCATGGACGATGCGTTGATGGAATTGCGACGCATGCGTGCAACTGTACTGGCTCTGGTTACACTGGACTTGACTGTAAACAAGGCATCAATGAATGTATGCACACTGGCACGTGCTTGAACAACGCCATGTGCTCAAATTATGCTGGAGGGTTCTTGTGCACGTGCGTCGGTGATTACCGAGGCACAAATTGCGCGGAAAAAATTGATGATTGCGCGTCAAATCCTTGTAAAAATGGTAAGAATTTCGAATTTGTTCATTGTCACGTAAAAGTCTCACAACTTGTCAAAAAGTTGTGTTCGCAACAGGCTTGTAGCAAGCTGGTCAAGAAGTTGTAACAATGCTGTTTTTTATCAAGTTGCTACAAGGTTGTTGATTCGCAACATGTTAACAAATTGTTGAATTGCATGATGATAAAGAGTTGTTGAAACAACTTGTAAGAAGTCTGTTGAGCTCAACAACCTTGTAGCAAATTGTGAACAGGCAGTGTTAACAGTTTGTTGGAACAGCATTGCTACAAGTCTACTACTGCATGTTTGTTACAACTTGTGCGTTTTTACGTGTGTAGATTTCGCGTGCGATAATATAAAGTTACACATGTACAGTAAGAACGCACAATTTGTTACAGTTCTGCAAACAAGTTGTTACAAATCTGTTCACAAGCTGTCGACAAGTTGTGTTCGCGCTGCTTGTTTCTAGTTGTTTCAAGTTTGGAACAAGCTGTTAACAACTTGATACAAGCTTGATGGTATTATCAGAATTTTTTCGCGCAAAGCGAAAAACAAATTTTGACTGTGGTTGGTCAGCGAAAAAATTCGTCGCGAAAACGTTTGATCAGTTCCTACTGTTCGCGCAAATTCGCCTAGTGGAGAACGGGCTTTAACAAGTTTGATACAGTCATGATATAACAAGAATGTTACAAGTGTGACGACACAAGGTTGTAACAATATTGTTATATCATGACTGTATCAGACTTGTTGGGGCAACCTTGCTGCAAGTCTGATAATATCAACAATAGAGCTGTGCAAACTCCGGTTATTTTAGCTCCGGGTCCGGCAGTCAAAACTCCGGCTCCGGCAAGGAAATTTCATCTTTAAAAGTAGAAGCAGGCGAAGTATTTCAGTGTAATTTCAGAATTTATTTTATTCCTTTTTGAGCTTTCTCCTCTACTTATCAAATATACATCCTTTGGTGCTTGTTTAAACAATGTTTTGTAGAAAGTAAGACCTCGTGGCAGCGTGGTATTTTCGCCCAAAATACATCGGGGTCAGCGGATTTTTGTATCAAAAGCGATAGCAATGCGCTTGCAGAATTTGTGAAGCCACGAATCAGATTGGAGCAAGTAATTAAACTTTATAGCAACTTCAAATTGTTCAACTTAATTTTTCCATTACCAAAAATTCATTGAAATACTGTATGAAATAATTTTTCATAATTTTGTCTGCCGGAGTCTTTGCCGGAGTTTTCCAACTCCGGCAAAGTATGCCGGAGCTCCGGCTCCGGTACTCCGGCTCCAGCGCACAGCTTTAATCAACAAGGTTGTTAGAACTTGTTACAAGTTGCTATAAGATGTGAGAATTTTTACGCGTGTATCTGAGCATTAACTGATTTGGACAAATTTTGTTTTTATAAGGTGGTAACTGCACAGACTTAGCAAAAGACTTCTCCTGTCATTGTGGCCCGGGGTATTCTGGAAAGACGTGTGAGACGAAACTGCACGATTGCAACGTGATTGGCTGTACGGCTTGTCACGTGGCACCGTGTAACCATGGCAACTGCTCCTGCAACTGTACGGCAAAGGCGATGTATTATAACTGTAGCTGCAACGAAGGATATACTGGCGTGAATTGTGATCAAGATATAAACGAATGTATGAGTGGTTCAATTCCCTCCAACATATGTGGTGATAATGGCACGTGTAGGAATACCAATGGCAGTTTTAGATGTGAGGTGAGCAAATGTTTGATGCGTATACAACAAAGATCGTCTATGTAATGCATTGACTTTTACCCCTTAATCGATTTCACGTGATTCTTCGGTTTGTTTACGTTATTTCTATTTTCAAAGCTTGGTTACGTGACTCTCTGCTTTCTTCACGTGATTATGTAGTTTGTTCACATGATTCTTTGGTTTGTTCACGTCATTGTCTAATTTGTTCACATGATTATCTAATTTATTCACATGATTCTCTAGTTTGTTCACGTGATTATCCAGTTTGTTCACGTGATTATCTAGTTTGTTCACTGATTATCTACTGTAATTTGTTCACGTGATTATTTTGTTTTTTCTACATAATTCTCTACTTTGTTCACGTGATTATCTAGTTTGTTCACATGATTCTCTAATTTGTTCACGTGATTATTTGGTTGTTTTTACAACTTGTAGTGTTCGGAAGGTTTCACTGGCAAACTCTGTAACGAAACCGAAGGTCCTTGCAATCCAAACCCTTGTGCAAACGGGCTGTGTCACAGAATTAACATTACGGTAAACTCATCGCTGGACAGCGGTAGTTCGAGCAACATTAGGGAAACCTATAACTGTTCATGTTACCCGGGATGGAGAGGTGTAAATTGCACCGAAGATATTGATGAGTGTATGGAAAATATTGGTATGATTGTTTATTCTTCTATATTATCACATTACTACACGCGTAAAAAGCTCACATATCATCTTGCAGCAGGTCTGCCAACAAGCCGTCAATTATTGTTACAACCTTGTGTCGTCAACCTTGTAACACTCTTGTTATATCATGACTTTATCAGACTTGTTAGAATAACCTTGCAACAAGTCTGATAATGCCATCAAGCTTGTTACAAGTTGTTAACAGCTTGTTACAACAACTGGGAACAAGCAGTGCGAACACAACTTGTCGACAGCTTGTGAACAGATTTGTAACAACTTGTTTGCAGACTTGTAACAACTTGTGTGTTTTTACGTGTATAGTTTAATGTTGGAACTCTATTTCAGTGACACGTCAGATGTTGAGGCTTCCGTAGTCAGAGCACACGCCTTTCACCTCTGACATCGTGGGTTCGATTCCCGTTGTGGACGTTCAATGATGTCCATGTGAAAAGAGTGAGTGTGAACGTTCTGCCGAAAGTCGTGGGTTCTCTCCGGGTACTCCGGTTCCCTCCCACAGGGAATGTTGACAGGGTTGGCTGGGATTAAGCCGCTAAGCTGAGATTATCCCTCAAACTGACCCTTCCACCGTACAGTAGCTGTGCTTCGTGATCAGACATGAGTCATAAGGTGGCTGCCAGAGGCGCCCTCAGAAAGCCTTGCACTCGACCACGTTGAGCTGTGCCCTTCGCAATTCAGCTTAGCTCTCAGCTGCAAGTAATGATAATAAGCACACATTCCTACTTACACCCACCAGGATTTTTTTCAGGATTTTCTCTTGGGTCAGTTTTTGCAGAGAAGATTGAGTTTAGCTGAGGTGGCTGCACTAACCAGGGGGCTGACACTTGTACTTAATGTGTTAAAGCAGGGGCACTGAAGGACACTATAAGACACTATAAACTGGTTAAAGATGGCGAATGCATATTAGTTTTTCTTGTGTTGTGAGATGAATTCCAGCCATTTTTTCTTAATTGTCGGGTTTCCAACTGAAAACTAATTTCCACACATCACGAATTTAACTGAAACAACTTCATTTTTACTGCACTGAAACTTTGGTGAGAAGATTGAGTTTCAAAACTCAATTCAAGATTGAGTTTTTGGGGCCGTTTAACGGCTCTAAAAAATCCCTGAAAAAAATCCTGCCTACTTACATTTAAAATGTTCTATCTCCCCAGATTCATGCAACAAGACGATAAGCACGTGTATGAACACCATCGGAAATTACAAATGTCAGTGCGATTTGGGCTACAAAGTCGAAGGGAAGCAGTGTAAAGATGTTAACGAATGCGACAGCAACCCATGTGCCAACAGTGGGATTTGTAAAAATACCGATGGCAATTATGTCTGTCTTTGTCACAATGGTTTTACAGGTATGTTATTTATGATTTATGAATCATGATTTAATAGTTATTCCGTGAACTCGAGTCGTATACGAGCTGATATTTGCCTATATCAGCCAAATAATCACCGAGCCTTCTGTGTAAGTCTTTTTTGTTTTTTTGGACTGAATTTATTTTAATTTCGCTTATTCCCTTATCAGTAACTTCCACAACACGGCTAGACGCCATTTTGAAAATTTCGGATTTGTTATATTCACCTGCAGGTGAATAAAACAGCTTAATACGTCAGATTTGACCTATTAACTTGTAGGATTTGTTATATTCACTTGAATGTGCAAAAATACTAATGGTTAAATATTATTGTTTAGGTAAAAATTGCTTGAAAAATATTGACGATTGCCTTGTGAACGACGGACATCAAGATTGTCAAAATGGCCAATGTGTAGATGGAATTGCGACATTTACATGCGAATGCGACGTTGGCTGGAGAGGGGGATTCTGTGATGTAGACATTAACGAGTGTTCACTTGGTTACTGTGATAATAATGCCACGTGCAACAACACGGATGGCAATTACACGTGCGCATGTCAAGCTGGATACACGGGTCGTAATTGTTCGACGGATATCGATGAATGCGCAGACTCACCATGTAACAATGGGACGTGTAAGGATAAGGTAGGTTTAAAACAATTTTAGAAACTAATTTGTTTATTGAGTCGGTGAAAATGGTTTTTCCAATCATTGTGATAGATTGAGGCAGATTGAGCAGCTCAGAGCCAGAATGAGAAGCTCAATGGTTAAGAAATAGCTGAGAGACAAATCAATCAGGGGTTGAAATTTTAAAAAAAATTTAAGCGCCAAAAAATATCTGGTCTTTCCTAGCCTGCGAACAGGCTTTCTTTGAACTCTCTTTCAAAGAGCCTGTTTGCAGGCTAGGTCTCCCCATATCATCAATTTCTTGTGAAGTATTCTCTTTCCATAAGGGTAACATAAAAAACCCGGTTGTTTAATCTGTTGGCAAAGCAGAATGAAATATTTGGTCACTGAAATATTTTAGGGCCTTAGAATTACTTAATTCTTTTAGTTTCTCCCGGTCGCCGCGAGCGTTATCTTTGGCAAATATCTGGTCGCCAGATGAAAAATATGCTCGCAATTTGCGACTTGATTTCCCGTCCATTTCAGCCCCTGGATCAAATTGACTCGATGGGTTGGGGTATAGGGGTTAGCTGGGAGCTTAAGTAAACTAGCTTTAATCGCTAAGAGCCAATTACTGGACATGCAGAGCTAGTGCAGTGGCTTGATAGTTTGCCACCAACCATCAGGGACGCCGGAACGATAATAGGGCAAAGGGGGGCGGACGCACACCAAGGGCACCTTTACTGAAAAATTTTTGTTCACTGCAAAATTTTTTGGCGACCTCCCTCCCCCCCCCGTCGCCAAAAAATTTCGGTCAGTGTACCATTTTAGAAGTCAAAAATTTTTTCCGGACATACAAAAATTTTCCGTGAAGCCAAAAACTTTTTCGGATATCTTAAATTTTCGCCATTTCTTCAAAATATTTTTCTAAATTCCCAAAATTTCCCAACATTTTTATAAATATAAACTATAAATTACCTGAATCTCGTGATTTTCCTACAAAAAGCATCGTTGGAAATGTGATTTATCACGTATTATTTTACAACTAAAAAGGGCACTTCTGCCCCCCCTAGCAAAAGGCAAGGGGGGCAGCCGCCCCCCCTGCCCCCCCAGTTCCGGCGTCCCTGCCAACCATAGACTTGTTTCAACCCGGTCTAAGTAAGTAAGTAAGTAAAAACTTTATTTGACTACGCTGACCCCTACAGCAAAAGCTGATTTCCAAGAGGGGCGTCGATTTAAAAATTTTCAAATATTACAATCATGCAGTTACAATACAAATATATAAATACTAGACGGACAGTTGCAATTACAAATTCAATTACAATTACAATCATTACATCTACAATAATTTACTGATTAGAGTTCACAAATTTGTCTGATGAATTCATTGCCTGTTCGCACCCAATATTGTTCTGAATTACTTGTTTTAAAAGTACAATTTGCAGAGAAACATGGAAAGTAAAGAACAAGTTAAGCCCGTTTTCCTAAAGGGGAATTTGTTCGCGCGAAGCGAAAAACAAATCTTCGCAAAGTGATTACTCAGCGAAAAAAATTCGCGGCGAAAAGTTGGATCAGTTTTTACTTTTTTACTATTCGTGCGAAATGGAAAATGGGCTTTACTTGTTGTTGCACAAGAGGTTAAATTAGGTGTTTTATATTTTAGATCAACGATTTTGATTGTGATTGTTCTCCGGGCTACGAAGGAAAATCATGTGAGATAGATATTGATTGGTGTAGCCCCGCAAGAAATGGCGGTTCTGTACCATGTGACTATGGAATATGTCAAGATGGTCTACTCAACTACACATGTCGTTGTTTTGACGGGTTTTCTGGCCGGAACTGCAGCATAGATGAAGATGAATGTGCCAGTGTGCCTTGCGCAAATTCTGGTATCTGTGTTCAAAAGTCGAACGCGACCGGGTTAAAAATGTATTTTGGAGCTGATCGTGTTTATCCCAAGAACGAAAGGTACATGTATGAGTGTTGATCATTTGTTACTTGTTGTCTTCAATGCTCTACCGAAATTCGTGAACTTTTTAGTGAAAGGTTGGGTAAATGAAAAACAAAACAACTCAAGGGTTGGTTAATAAACATTTATTGTCATTTCCAAAGCATGACTCGCTGAAATATATGAGACTAAAAAGCAATGTCAACAGTCACATGTCAGTACAATATGTAAATCAATCAATCAGAGTCACTATCTTGATCGTTTTCTCATTTGTCAGGAGGCAAATGGTGTCTCCAAACAAAGTATGTACATGTGCAGACAACACGAAACTTTTACACTGCAGAAAATTGCACAAGCAGTTAGGGGCCATTCACAAAGGATGTCCGGCCAAATGATGGATTTTCAGACCCCCCCCCCTTCCCCCCTTGTCCAGCATTGTCCGAATTACTGGACCCCTCCCCCCGGACATCCGCCATTCCTCGCAAAAAAACTCACGCAACTTTGTATATGTTAGAACTTTTTTATAACTATAAATGTGAATATAAAAACTTATAAATTATTAATTAAAACAAACAACTGTGTTACTGCAAGTCTGCAACAACGGGATGAACTTATTGTATAGAAAAGGACAGTTATACATGAAGAAAGCTTTTATTTGACGCCACTGTTAAATTCATCATTGAAGGAAAGAATTAGATAATATTATGAAGTGTTCAAAATGCCAATTTCACAATGGGAAAGAGAGTTCAAAATAGAGGAAAAAGAAATTTGGTTTTGAATTTTTTTAAATTTCGGACATCCGGATTGCTAACCTCCCCCCTATGTCCGAGTTTGTCCTGATTTTCCAACCCCCGCCCCCCCTCTGCTCGGACATCCTTTGTGAATGGCCCCTTATCAAACTCATGTCACAGAAGTGGTAAAGGACGTGTGTGACAACTAAATGGTATTCTTTTGTAAAGCTTTTTAGCCAGGGGAGCGTATTTATTTTTTAATCGATATTTGAAGTTGGATAAAAAAAATTTTGGATCAGCGAAATGTTTCACCAAAAAGCATTTCTCTTTGGTGCCTCTCGCCGCCATAAATACAGTAATGACCTTACTATCACACCATGACGCAATGCTTGCTTAACTCACAGTTTTTGGTCTTTGAAATCCTTGAAATTCAGCCTTTGTAAGGTCTTTGAAAAGTCTTTGAACTGTGTGAAAAAGCGAAGAAAGTCTTTAGAAATCTTTAAAATCTTTAGTGATTACTTGATCATACGATTTCTAAGCTGATAAAACAGATTGATTGAAGCAAGATTTTCGCAAATATCGACGAAAAGGTGCATTTTAGGATGTGATTTGACGGGACTATTTACCGGGTAAAAAGGGTGCTTACATTCGCAATTTTTCGACAGCTGATTGCTCTCAAATTAAGGTCTTTGAAAAGTCTTCGAAAATAGGAAGAAAAAAAATTTTGAAAGTCTTTGAATATTTTTGGTCTTGGAGATTACGAACTCTGTTCTAAATGGTGTTTTTTCGCCATATTCGTTTAGTGGCGGGTACCTATGCGTGTGTCAGGCAGGCTACAACGGTTCAAACTGTGAGAATGATATCGATGAATGTGCTTTGTATCAACCATGTAATAAGACGGGAGAGGAATCGTGTAAAGATGGAATCAATAATTACACCTGCATCTGCAACCCTGGTTTTACAGGTACAGTAATAAAATATATTATTTTACATTACACTAGAATATTGATGGTTGTGTACATGTACTGTATATACTGTATTGATATACTGTAATTAGTATGTAATATGGCCAGGGGTATTCAAAATAAGGCCGCTTTTACACTATAACGCTACGGCTAGCATTCCGTTAAAGGGAAATGACAATATACATTTTTATTTTCTTACTTGAAAGAACTTTGGAACTATATATTAACTTCTTTCACCGATTTTTCATATCACAGCCGAATTTCCCGCCAAATTAAGTGTTTAAATAAAAATTCTCCCTATATATCAGTCGCTAAGGTTGGCAGGTCTGCAAAAATTTCGTATTTTGACTTCGATTTTAAGACTAATATTATGATTTTATGAACTGAAAACTTGATTAGCGATACGGTCCGTTAGAAAACTGGAATTAGCTGGGGAATTAAAAAAATGGGATAAAAACAAACTGTTTACGTGACCTTCATATAGCTATGGCCGTCATTGGCGGCCATCTTGGCTTTGCTTTTAGATGAAATTCTCGCTCCAAGTATATATAGAGCTCACTGCTGTATTTCTAATTTCACATTTTTGTGTTTAGGTCGGAACTGTTCGGAAGACATCGACGAATGCTCGCCGTCCCCTTGCAAAAACAACGGGACATGCCAGAACTTGATTGCGCAATACAAATGCATCTGCGACTCCAACCACACCGGGGTGAATTGCGAGAAATTGGTTGACCCATGCACGGCCTTGTCTCCTTGTCGAAATGGCGCCACTTGTTACCCGGTCTCCGACTTCAACTACACGTGCGCATGCGCGGAGGGATATGCGGGAAGACTGTGTACAGATAGGACTACGTTGGGATTTGATGGGACATTTTCAATGACTGTATCCGTCCCTCAAATTTCGAATAATATATCATTCAGCTGTCAGACTAATTCTCGTGAAGGAGTGGTGGTCTCCCAGTCGAGGTTTTGGGTATTGTCTTTGGTCTCGGATAAACTTGAACTCGTGTGTGCGGTCGACTCTTCCAAATGCGAAGTCGGGGGACCTGGAATGTTTACGGATTCCAACTGGCATAAAGTAGAAGTGTTATTTGACGGCTCCTCTGTTTCCGCCAATGTTTCAAAGACGATTTGCAACGTGTCGTGTGGGACATCGCGCAGGCGGAGGGCGGCTTCCTCAGAGCTGGTCCTGGGCGCGGACGCCGGGGACACGGGCCAACCGAAGTTTGTTGGCAGTATCCGGGACTTTAGCGTGAATAATGCTAAATATTATCCAGGTATTGTTACAATATTTTTATTGAAAGTCATGGCATTTTTTAATACCATGGACAGGTGGCGCATTTACCCCACTGGGCCCCTTCCTCTGCCCCACCACTGATGGAAAAAATGGCTTATTACCCCAAAGCCAGGGCCCTGTAAAGACATGACCTGTATTAAGTAAATGAGTTAAACATTGAAAAGAAGTTTAAAAATCATTTTTTAGTGAGCATGCTTATAAACATGTTGTGTTTGAATGTTTAACATGCAATTTATTACAAATTTCACCATTAAAACTTCTTTTTTAGAAACTGAGTTTTTTTTAAAAGGTGTTCTTAGAATGCAGGAAATGCTATTTCAGACGCCCAAATTTCAAAAGTTTTCTGGGGCAGCATGCCCCCAGCCACCCCCCCCCCCGCCCTAGCTAGCTCATGCCTGCGTTACTTTGCTCACACCTTTGGCAATCGTACACTATCTTGGGGGAAGGGCAAGGAAAATCGGCCCTTTGGCAGTTTTTCCCCACCAGTGAAGAATCCTTAAAAAATGCACTGTTGAAAGTGTATAAGTTGTTTTTGGATGGATGAATGGATGGATGGATCAACTTTACTTAAAAACACACTAATCTTTTTAACAATATTAATGCTGGTTTCCAAAAGTGTTGTGTACTATTATGATAGAATAAATCCCCATTAATTACCTATGATGTATAGATATGAATTTGTTTAGTAATAAGTACTAAATTAATAAAGAAATCTAAGAAATTTCTACTATAATTTAAGCATGATTATTGTTAAATGAAAAGGTCGAGGAAGAAAGCTTTTCACAAAACGAAATATAAGATGCCGAAGTTCTTATGTCTTTCGGAATTTGATTCCAGACATGAGCCCCATTTGGGATTTGATTCCAGACATGAGCCCCATTGCATAATGTTTTCTAGTTATTCCTATACGCTAAGCTAGTGAATTATTATTTCTAGGTGTCGCCGGTGTTGCTACGGAAGGGAGTTTCAGTCTAGGATATCAACGGCAGAACGTCTGCTCCCCAGACCCCTGTGTGAATGGCAAGTGTAAGGATCTCTGGACACGCTACTCTTGTGAATGTGATAGGTACTGGGCCTCAATTAACTGCACAGAAAGTAAGTTTGATATATTTTTTAAACCATGAGAAGTGAAAACCTCGTCTGACGGCTGACCCAATGATTTGCCAAACCCCCGAGATTTTCTGGGACTTGTTTGTAGCCGTTACGTGGACCTAAAAACGTGAAACTCAATTATGTCATTGAAAATTTAAGTGCAGTAAAATTTTAAACACTGTAATTGCGGGAACCACTCAGTATTTTAAGAAAATACAAAATAATATGGCGATAAAATACGTGGTGTCTCCACAAACAAAACTATTATATATTTTATCGCCATGCAAACATACAAAGAACTTATTACAAAATAATATTTTGATTTTTCATTTTTAAAATTCAAAATGTTATTCGGAGTTACTATTATTTTGTATTTTGGTAAAATTAAAGTTGTTTATAAGTTAGATTTGCGACGTGAAAATCACAGTTTTTTGCTGGGAAACTCGGCAAAGTAAGAAAAAAACAAAAAAACAGACAGCACAGCATTCGTTTCACAATAGAAGGAAAACCACGAACAAGAAAGCGAACACACCTGTTATTTACCATCTTTAACTCATTGGCACATTGCAGTGTGGCCCATTTAAAGGGGGAGGGGGTAAAAGCCCCCCTCCACATTCCCTTCTGTGCAAAACTTCTGGAAAAAACCCTGAAATTCCATTCCATGTAACAGTAAATTTCTTGTGCGAAACTTTTTCCAGTGCTCTAAGCCCCAATATTCCACGTGAAAATATAGGAAAATCTCAGGCCTGTTTTATACATCGAATTTTGGTCGTGTCGAATGCAATTCAAACAATAGATGATGAGATGATAAACCTCATTAAGCTTCGTTATCTATTGTTTGAATTGCATTCGACGCGATGGAAATTTGACGTATAAAACAGGCCTTAGTTCCCAGTAAATCTAAGATACCAATTTTTAAGGTTATCAAAATTGATCAAGTAGAACAAATGTTATGGCTTCAAAGTTTAAAATAAAGTTCCGTTTACCTCATTTATATAAGTTGGGGCATGTGTTTACCTCATTTATATAAGTTGAGGCAAAAATTTACGTATTCTGCAGTGAGTTCAACAAAAATCATATGATGGGAGACTGATTTAATTTTGTGTTTTGTTTCTAAGGTGTACTTTGGGGAACGTTTGGTGTGATTAATCAGCTAAACAATGGCTACCGTCCGACCTCGAACAAGAGCTACGTATCATATTCGTTGTCTACTACTTTTCAACATCTCGCCTTTACTGTGAGAACGAGATCGGCGTCTAGCTTAATAATACAACTCAAATTCAACAATTCAATGTTTGTATCGGTTGAGACAGATAATGGCGTCTTACGATTACGCGACAATAATGGCTATATTAACTCGCAACAGAGTGGAGGTTTAAAGATAAATAACGCCATCCCGCATTATATTCAAATCAACCGCACTAAGATAACGATAGATAATGCGACCTATGACGTCATGTTGACGTCACTTCCGATCAGAACCGTGTTCGTCGGTGGACTGTCGGCGCCTGGTGACGAGGAGGTCAGTGCGCAAGCGCAGTTCCGTGGATGTATCCGTGATGTGCGTCTCAATGGTCAGCAGTTGCTGTTTTTTAATCAAACTGCAGATGGTTTGAACTCCACTCAAGAGAACATCGCCGAAAGATGTTCAGGCGAGGATGTATGTGCAAATACATCAGGTATAAGTTATATTATGTTGTAATTTTGCAAGGGTCAAGCCTGAGAATAAGCGCCCGGTCACGGACATTGTACGGTACGAAAAGGTAATTAATTGTCCGGCACAACTGGTTTTTGTCCGGCAGCATATTAAATTATTAATACAACTATTGGTGAAACTGTCTACAACTGGCATTAAAAATTTCATTGTAATACAGTACTTATCTTTCTTTCAAGAAACCCTGAAATTCCTTGAAGTAGTAATAGTAAGTGAATTCACAAAAAAACACCCCAATCGACTTGAACGTTTTACTGTGTTGACTGTTGACGTGCTTTCGTTGCCGTTGTATTTGACAAGCTTTCTATTAGGGAAACTACAGACTTTCACGTCTTGGATAAAAACGCCTGCGTTTCAAGACGCTGGATGTGATACTCGGCAAATTAGCACAGTACTACAGTAGAACTTTCTCAACAATAAAGCCACTATTTCAAACTTTCTTTACAATAGTTTATTTAAATGATTTTATTCTGGCCCTTGTCGTTGTGTTGCCATTCTACATTGTGAGGTCTCTATTATGTAAACAATGGTGTCTTCGAAATGTTCTTTGTTGTAATCTAGTACTGAAAAGAGCTTTTTTATCGTATTGGTTATTTGAGCTGTCATACACCCTTTTCATAAATGGCTGCCGATTAAAAATTATTTTATGTGCATATAAAGTGGCCCAACTAGCCTCGTACTCCTGTTAAGATTTCAAAGGAATTTCTACCCAGAAACGAGGCTAGTTCGGCCAATTTATATGCACATAAAAGAATTTTTAATCGGCAGCCATTTATGAAAGGGGTGTATATTCCTTACAAACCGAATCGTTTGGTATAAAGTGAAATGAAATGTTTTCAATAATATTTCCTCCAAATTATTTAGGAACGACTGCATGTTCTGGTCGTGGTAATTGCACAGATCTTTGGAACGACTTCCAGTGCGCATGTCAGTTTCCATATGGAGGGGATACCTGTGAACTTTATGGATGCGAGTGGACAAATCCATGTCCAGGGAATGGTACATGTGTGAACTTGAGGGACACTTCGGAGTATGAATGTAAGTTAGTTTAGAGTTTCATACTTTGTTATTAAAATTTTATTTTGTAGCAAGCATCACTTCTGGTGAAATGGCGGACTGTGCACGGTTGGCTGAGAAGCACTTTCAACGGTCCATTACTTTCCCCGTAATGAACCGGCAGTCCATTGCGTAAAAACAAACACATGCATTTTAAAACAAAACAACAAATCTAATTGAAAATTTGAAAATTATAATTTAATTTGTTATTATTAAAGGTGGAGTAATACGAGCAACAAAATTGCTGCAACAAAATCTGATTTCAACGCATGTTAAGTAGAAATGTTGACATGACGTGTTGCCTCGTGATTTGTAATTTATGGTAAACATTTTCAATTCACATGCGTAGAAATCAGATTTTGTTGCAAGTTGCAGCAATTTTGTTGCGCTCGTATTACTCCAGCTTAACATATCTTGTGGATATTTAGTGGAAAAGAAGGAATACATTGGTATTTTTTGTTTTCTTCGACCAAATGTGTACCACGCTATTAATATGCATTTCAAATCATGCATGCTATTGTTTCAAGTATAAATGCCTATAAATGCTATGTAATAAACTTTTTATTAACCTCGCTTGCTCGGTATTTACAGATCGGACTTCGGCCTTTTTGTCCTCGCCCAACGGGCTCAGACAAAAAAAAAGACAAAAAGTCCTCGGTCCGATATTCTCTGTACGGACCTCGCGTTCGGTTAATAAGAAGTTAGTATTTACTCTTAGTATAGGACTAACATTTGTCCGAATCGTGAATAGTACTAAACTATCTCATTATTGTTTTTGGTTTTTTCCTCAGGTATAAGCGAAGTTACGTTTAATGAATCTCAGTCTTCAGCATATTTTAGTAATTCAACGCCATTGTCAGATATGAACAGCGTGGTAACACAGTTTCGTACACGACAAAACAACACTGTCATTCTTTCAAGTGTATACAATGCTACCACCTACTTTGAGATAACCGTAAGTGATGGATACGCGAAAGTTCGGTACAATTTGACTGAAAATGTAACTGGAATCGTAAGTACAGGTAATGAATGTGAACACTGATTATAATTTTAATACGCAAACTCTTTAGTTTGAACCTGGTTTGAGCTAGTTAAAGGAGAATAATGAGAATTGATGAGAGTTGAGAAGCGAGAGTTTGCATTAGAGTTTTCTCAACTCTCATACCCCGGTCAAATGAGAACAAGAGTTGATGACAGTTGACTGGATATACCGCGCGCGTAGCAAAACTCTCCGATCAAGTCGTTGAGAGTTGGCCGGATTAACGTTTCGCGGGGCCCCTTGGCATATTATAAGAGCGGGGCCCCTTGACCCCCCCCCCCCCCCCCCCCCCCCCCCAACGACATTTTAAACACTGAATTCAGTTAAGATTCAAAAATCCTTTTGTATTTCTTGAATTGAAAAGTTGCCTGGGTATAGTTTGAATATTATCGGCATTTATACCATTCACCCTGGATGGTAAGGCCTTTGAATATTATCAGCATTACCATTCAACTTGGATGGTAACGCCGTTGAATATTATCAGCATAACCATTCAACTCGGATGATTATCCTGTTGAATATTATCGGCATTACCATTCAACTCGGATGGTTATGCCGTTGAATTTCCTAGCTAATAAAACAGAGATTGATTGAAGCAAGATTTTCGCAACTATCAACGAAACGGCGCGCTTTAGGACGTGATTTGACGGGACTAATTACTGGTTAAAAATTGTGCTTACACTCGCAATTTCTCGACAGCTGATTGTTCTCAAAGGTCTTGAAAAGTCTTTGAAAATAGGCAGAAAAAATCTTTGAATTTTTTGGTCTTAGAGACTACGAACCCTGATATGCCACCTCTGCCTTATGTTTAATCCCGCACTGGTTTCAACGCGATCGAGAGTTGCAGCTCTGATCAACTCACGTTTGACCGGCGCTTAAGTTGAGCGACCAATCAAATTGCGCGAAAAGCGCTACCCACCTTCGGAGTATGTGCTAAATTGTTCTATTTGTTGCAGATACCTTCGTTTCTGACGGCAAATGGCACGAGCTGAAAATCGAATCCACTGCATCTCAAACTAACTTCGAGATCTCCACCATGGAACTTCGGCAGGATAAGTTCACGTATTTGAATAATCATTCCGTTTCTAGAAACCTTTCTTTACTAAATCAATCCTTTGTCAATCTTCTATCGATGGGAGGTGTACGCATTGGATCGTCGCCTATTAATAGCACTCGCGGTCATTTGCTTGGCTGTCTGAGAGAAATAAGACTTGGCAAACATTTGTTAACGTTTGCTATCGAAAATGCAACTGTGAATTCCGGTCCAGAGTTCAGTATTGCTAAGTCCGCGTTTATGAGTGCTGATGTTACCAATGTCCGAATTGGTTGCCATAGAAACAATGTGTGTACGGGTTCCCTGTGCGGAAATGGCACGTGTGTTGACGTTTGGAATTATTTCCATTGCGCATGTCCAGACGGTTATCATGGCGACCGTTGTGAGTTCAACCCATGCACATCTACTCCGTGCATGGGTGGCACGTGTACGGTGCGTGGTACGAGCTTTGAATGCGCGTGCGCGAAAGAGTACGCGGGTACTTTCTGTAATGAAACGTGCATTCAAGACTTTTGTAAAAATGGCGGGAAATGTGCGATTTCTGGCGGGAATCGGATGTGTACATGTGAATCTGATTGGACAGGCCAACTTTGCGAAGCGGCTATACCACGTGACGATGACGACGACGATGATGATTTGCCGTTGATTATTGGCGTGTCCGTTGCTGGAGGTGTCTTGCTGCTATTGGTTGTTGCCGTGATATTTGTATGCACACGTCAGACAAGTTCTACGTTCGGGATTTACAGTCCGAGCGGCGAAGAGAAAGCTGGAGCCCGGGTCGAGATGAATCCTGTATTGAATGTACCTCCCCCGGAAAAGCTTATATAGAATACTTTTATCTGCGTGCAATACTTGGGGGGGGGGGTGTAGGTAGTGCGAAGCTGGGCTTGCTTGTTTGCTTAAGACAAATATCAATATAATGAATCTTTCTCCCATTTGTAAGAGAAATTCATTACATTTCAAATTCACAATCGGTCTGCTTGCTTCGTCGTTTCTGATTTTAAGCAAGCAGTACTGTCGATTCGTTGCCATTAACCTATTAACGAACTAATTATGCATGTACGCGTGACATATATGTGTCAAAAATAAAAATCAGAAACGATCCTGTGAATTTTCATTGATCCTGTCACGATGAAACAATTATTTTTCCTTCGTATATGTAATCATAATTATATAATCATAGCTAGACAACAGACCATGATGTATATTTTCAATTTTTTTATAACGCAGTGTAGATAGATAAGTTATGTATAATATTAAATAGACCTTTTCAAGGTTTTTCAACTTCACAGCTGAAAAGAGCATGCACTTTATAATTAGTAAAATTGCAAAGTTTCGTTGTATAATCATTAAATTAGGTGGCTCTTGTAGGCTGCATACCCATACAGGCCCTGTTACACGGTGCAATTTTTCATGCAACTTGTCTCGCAATGGCGTTGCGAGACAAGTTGCACGAGTTATTGCACCGTTTAACATGCCTTGCAATGCTCAAAATCTTTGCGAGACAAGTTGCATGAAGCATTGCACAGAGTAGAAGTCGGTTCTACTTTTGGCAACGATTGCACTAATTATTTTTAGCATTGTGTAACATGGCTTCGTGCAACTTGTCTCGCAATGTTTATAGCTTGGAGAGTTCCTATTGGCTCTCCCCAGTACACGCTATATTTTAATTACAATTTGGCGCCAAATAGTGCCTTTCCCTAGTCTTTACGCATGCCTCTGTTCCCTATCGTTGCGAGTTGCATGAAAATCATTGCAGCGTGTAACACCTCTTGCAATGCATTATCAAAATCTTTTTTTTAAACATTGCGAGACAAGTTGCATGAAAAATTGCACCGTGTAACAGGGCCTTACAGTCTGGTTTCGCCTACAACTGTTGCCGACGTGTCGTGAACTGTTTCTCGTGAATGATTTTTATGCTTGTTTCCATATGGTTGTAAAGGCCCGTCTACACGATGCGATTTTTGCTTACGATTGCTGTATGCAACTTGCTGACGCCATCCCTGCGACTTTGTGCCGTCTATCTAGAAGGTACGATTATTGTATTTCTACTTTTTTTTTACTTTGTATTGGTCACACTTCGAACAGGAGGCGTACCAATTTCGCTTTCTCTCATCTCATTGTTGATGTCCTCAATTTTGAACTATTTTCTCATAAGAAATGAATGAAAGTCGCAACCTCGTTGTGAAAGTCGCAGGATTTTAAAACAAGTTTTAAAATTTTTACGACTTTTTTTGTGTTTCATACGACTGCTGTAAGCAAGTTGTAGGGCTATCTACACGGCACGATTCGTGTCGCAGGGAATGGCGTCAGCAAGTTGCATACAACAATCGTAAGCAAAAATCGCATCATGTAGATGGACCTTAACTGTAAGTTAGTTTCGTACCCAGGGATCGTACAATCAAAATGAGAAAAATCAAAATGAGAAAAATATTATTGGTATTCAATACTTTAAAAACATCTTGGCCGCCGGATCTTCGTAAATTGTTTGTCTTTGTTCGCGACTCTCATCCAATTCCAACTAGATCGTCTATTACAGACTTAAAAGTTCCATCAGTTAAGACTACGCAAGCTAAATCCAAAATTTCCTTCAGTGGTGCAAGTTTATTTAATTCTTTACCTTCCGAATTAAAAGATATTGAAAATCACTCAATTTATTCCTATAAAAAGAAGCTGAAAACCTACTTTATTCAATTGAATTATGAAGTAGATCACGTTAATAAATTCCGCTGCATCGATTGTAAGCATATTACTCATTGTCAATGTTACTCTCATATAGGATTTTCTTTTTATATATTACTATTAGACATCGAGGGCCATTGGGAAGAATACTATATTAAGTAATCAATGTAATCCCTCATTAAATAAAGTTTTATTATTATTATTATTATTAACCTGCTGTCGGCCTTTGCCCCCCCTCCGATTGTCGTAAAACTGTTGCCAAGCTGTCGTTTCCATTAAAACATAACCGTTTTTAGCCTGTCGCAACTGTCGTTGAGATAGAACTCGAGCCTATCACGACGACACTGTCGTAACTGTCGTGAACTGTTGCCAGCGTATCGCGACAAGACGTTTCTTTATGTAATTCCATTTGGTCGCGAAGACTACTCTGACGGCAGTTCCAACCAATTCGCGACAGTTACGACCATATGGAAACCAAGTAAGTAATTATATAACGGGGTAATTAGCCATTTCCCAATCGAGCAGAGGACTGGGTCTAGTCACTTGTTTGGAGGGACAGAAATAAACAATATGCCGAATATGGCATCTAGGAAATTTTCCTATACATTCCTAAAGTTATTTCATGTGCAGCCTGAAACGCAACAATTATAATAAGGCATCTTTTAATATATATTTAGCTCGCTCACTATAATTTGTTGTCCCTCCAAGCATCAACTAGACCCAGTCCTCTGCTCGATTGGGAAATGGTTAATTATGCATTCAGATTACTCTGCCTAGCAAAGCAAGACAAACGTACAGTAAAAGCCCGCATTTAAGAACCTAGATTTTCCAAGTTAGCCTAAACAGGTTCTTATGTAAATGATCTTACCAGGATATAACAGATTCTTAAACAGGTTCTTATTTCCTTAAGAGAAAAGCGACTCATTTTAGGAAGGTATGGTATATGATCTATATAAGTTATGATCTTAAAATGATCTAAAAATATGTAACATGCAGAATATATACGGTCAGGTATTCAGCCCTTAATTTACTTTCATCAATACGTTTAAGGCAATTTTACCACTAAACTTTGTATGTTTACTAATTTTGACGTGCTTGTTTCAGCTGCGGTGATGGAATTTTCATAAATCTTTGTTTGTGGAAAAGCCGTGACTATCATGTAATTCACAATAATTGTAATTTTGTAATCTAGGAAACCGAATGATTTTAAATTAGCGAATAAAAGCTTCTGAATTGTGCGTCTGAATTGTAAATTATATACATATATTTATTTATATATAACATGTTTAGCCAGGAATTATGGTTGATTCAACCTTGTTGAATTAAACCAAATTATGCATGCATGGTTGCTAATGGTAATCAATTACAAGTATAGAATCGCGTTCTTGTTAATTGACTTTAATATAGTTTCAGCTGTAGCTGTAAAACCATAAAATTTTGTCGACGAGGGCTAATTCTTGCTTCAGAAACTATACATAGATGCAGGTTTACGGATCGACAGCTTGAATAATATAATTTAAAAAGGACAATTCTACTTGCAATTAATTACCATTAGCATAAACCATACATATTTTGGTTAATTCAACAAGGTTCAAACAACCATCTCCTTGCTAAATTTGTTCAACGAAAATTGAAATGACCAGGAAAATTAACTTTTGCCAAACTTCCAAAGTGCTAGTGTGAAAAACATCAAAAGCAATATAGAAAAATCCGAAAGAACTGATGCAAAAGTTCTCCCTAAGCATTAAGGGCTTCGAACGATTTCCAATGACGATTCGCAACGCAACGGACCGTCGAACACATCAAATCTATACCCGCCAAACTATCTTAATTTTTGCACTATTTGGAACCATGCACCATCTTGTTTTATATAATTCGATCTAATTAAATAACTGCGTGCTAAAGATTGAGGAACCGTTATCTTTATGTATTTAAAACTTTCTAAAAGCCAACCAGACACAGTACTAAAATGCGGTGCCCTAACACCTGAAGGCAAGTTCATGTTGCCTGGTTGGAATATATACGGTGAATTTCTTGGCTTGCATAATTGGGATTCTGGCCATGGATACCTCGGGCTTATATATCCAGGATAGTAGCATGATAGTATATCAAAAGTGCGGGCAAATGTCGTCTCGTGCCTAGCCAGGTCATAAGAATTACAAGCCCCATTTGTGATTAGTGAGCCAGATCCCAGATTAAGTAAGAAACAAAAAAATTTTGAAAGTTAACCTAATTTTTGACAATATTCCAGAAAATTTCACGTATATTTCAATATTACGTCTATTTCACCCGTACTGATTCATACTTTTTAATCGAATTTTTATGTAAGGGCACTTTCGCCCCCCACCCCCCTTACCAAAGGGCAAGCGGGCGATGCCTCCCCCTGCGCCCCCCTTTCCGGCGTCCCTAGGTCTTCGTGGACATTCAGGCGCAAGGCACTGAAGCTAAAAGAATTCTTAAAGTACCGAACTTTCGAGATATTTCTATAATTGCCGTAATTTGGAGATGAAAAGATACTCGCTATGACGCATTTCGTGTTTTTTTTCTCCAATATTGTAGTTTGCCTTTTGAATATATTAATATTCGTCAATTATCTTCATACCAGTGTAATAAATCATATCATTGTTTTGTCGACACGTTTATTTCTTTGCCTCTGCTTTGGCGAAGATTTCGATCCAAGTCCAGTCTTCATTAGTGCTACAATAACACTGCCACTGGTGAAGATAGATGCAGGCTTACGGATCGACAAGAAAATTAACAAGGACAATTCTACTTGCAATTGATTACCATCAGCAACCATACATATTTTGGTTAATTCAACAAGGTTCGATCATTTGACAACCACCTCCTTGCTAAATTTGTTCAACGAAAATTGAAATGACCAGGAAAATTAACTTTTGTCACACTTCCAAAGTGCTAGTGTGAAAAAAACTTCAAGAGCAATATAGAAAAATCCGAAAGAACTGATGCAAAAATTCTCCCTGAGCATTATATATATATAAATATAATATAGTAATGACGATTTGGTAGATTTTGTAGGTAGTGTCAATAATATGAACAAGCTTTCGTTGGTAGGGATGCAACTACCTGAAAAATATAAGGAGAATTCCTACGTTTCGAGCGAAACCCTTCGTCTGGAGTTTGAATCGAAACGAAATTTGATTTCACGCGTTCCGTCGGTTACGAATCGTAATTGAAAATTTCGGTAACATGCATGCCAGCCCTATAACAATTTAGTCGCAGCTCATCTCGTTCCCAAGTTATCGGACATCTTGTATCAGTTTTGTGTTGTGACGTCAATAGTAAATGTTGTGCTCATAAGATGGCAGCAAAAAGAAGAAAGTCTAACATATCTCAGAAGTGATTCACCGAAATTAAATGAAATTTTGTGCAGTTAGTAAGTGCACCTAAGCAAACACCTTGGACTACTTATGTGATTGTCATAGCAACGCACTAGTTACTAGGTCTCTCTCTTAAGGTAGTACTGTCTAACTCAGTTTCCGACGAAGGGCCTTCGCTCGAAACGTCGAAATTTTACTTGTATTTCTCATGAGGCAGTCGAATATATCTCTCAATATATCCGCAGCATTCTGGTGTAGAGACCTAGTCTAGGACCTGTATATGAGTTTGTATGCGATTCATTTAGGACAGGTAATCTCAAATGTTTTAGGGTAAAATTACCATGGCGGTCAACATGGCATATGTGTGAAAACCTGAATCCGGGGCGAAAGTCCTGAAAATGACCCCGCCCTGAAACGGCAATGTCGACATAGCTCTAACTTCAGAAAAGGAAAAGCGATAGCCTTTCTGAAGTTCTTATAGTGTTTAGAAGGGTTGCTTTTAGGGGTGGTCATTGGAAGAAAAAATTTGTCGAAGTATAATATTTTACCAGAAAATGACTATGCACCACCCCAGGTAAATTGCTGATTATGCACAAAATAACTAATATGCCTGGCAGAAATTAAATATTCTTATTTCCTAAAAAAAAATTATCATGGGGTGAAAAACTATGCTTAATTTAATATAAATATTGTTGATTTCATAAGGATTGTCATTGTTTTCTTTAAATATAATACATTTTATTTCACTTACCCCCCACGAAAACACGATTTCAGCCATATTTTGTCGTCTTGTTTGCTTTTTATCGCCGAATCTCGCAAATATCATCCAGTTATTGTACTTTTACATAATCATAAATGGCTGAAGAAGATTTCAAAGAAGGTTTCATCCACTTTTGTAACAGTGCAGTGTATTTTACCTTCGATATTGTGTCCTTCGATATTCCGCCAAATTGCCGCCATTTTAATGGCTCGCCGCTTCTGTCTGATAAATGCAACTTCTTCGTTTCCATATGTATTTAGATTACAGTATCCAAGAGTACTTCATTGTAGAATAGTCCCAATCCAAAAATTGGCAAGATTTGTCCCATTAGGAAGGAAAAATCCTCCGTATACCATTTAGGTTCAAAATAAAAAACAAATCATTTGAAAGTCACGCGCAATCTTCGGGAAAACTTCTCGTGGACACATGACAGGGGGGGTAGAATATTTTCACGAATATGTTTTCCACCACAGAAACATAACTAAATATATTGTATTTATTGTATTTTTATGATTTATAATAAAAACAATAAATATTTGCGTAGTTTTGTCATAAATCATAAAAATACAATAAATACAATATATTTAGTTATGTTTCTGTGGTGGCGAACATATTCGTGAAAATATTCAACCCCCCCCTGTCATGTGTCCACGATGTTAATAAGGAGTTGATAGGGGAAAAAATAAACTTTTGCAAAATAAAATGTTACGTTAACACTTTTAATAAAAAGAAATCAATAAAAGTGATCGCTTACCGTTATTCTACAATAATTTATTGAACAAAATTTCCATGGGTGTCTCATTTTTTTTTAAAAAAAGCGATTTTCCCCTTTCGAACGGCGTTTTCCCTAGCTATCGTTTGCTATGAAATTTGGGGAGCCTCGCAGTGCCTCGGAAGGTCGTCTCCAATTGGATGGAGGTTTTCTAAAGAACAAAGCAATGTCAGTGTTCTGAACACAAAAGCAATTGTCAAGTCGAGCCAATGGAAAGCACTCTTCCGAGGCACTGCGAGGCTACCCTGAAATTTCAGCGACGGCACTGGCTGGGAAATTTTACGTGGCGCGTGGACGCGTGACACAAAAATTGAGGTTATCGAGTGTCAGTTTCCTCTCTGTATATCTCTCCTCTGTGTCTATATGATATGGAGACTACGCGCAGGACGTGCCCCCAGTCTTGAAAAGTACGACGAATGAGCAACGTCATTCTCGTACCCAGAGCCCTTCTTACGCGCGGTGCGACGAGGTGCTCTGGCCAAATCCGTATCAAACTGGCATCTGATTGGCTACAACGAAGGTCATTGTTCTAATACCGGATATATTCTTTTACCATGACCATGTTGTCATGGTATCCGGTTATGGATTTGACCAGAGCCCCTCGTCGCACCGCGCGTAAGAAGGGCTCTGGATACGAGAATGGAGCAACGTCTGATGGCGTCCAGGCCTAACCTGAGTATCAGGCTCTCGGTATTGAAGAGAGCCTGACACAATTCGCCTCTACGGGCTTTCCACCCCCAGAATATCAGCCAATTAAAATTATTTCCGGTTGTAGCATATTTCCGGTTGTCCGCTACAGGTATGTAAATACGCAAATTTCGTTATTTGCAGTTTTATATAAATTTGAATAAATACGGAGAAAAATCGGTATGTTTTTGTCGAAATATCCACATGATGGAATTCTAAGCGTAAACTATGCCTTATTCGAGGAACCATAGCTCGATGGCTTTTTCCAGGAGTCTAAAGAGACAACATTCGGCGCTCTGAATCGAGGGGTATTTCACTCCAAAAATCCCGTACACTTCGTCAAAAAATCCGGAAAAAATCCAGAAAAAATCCATGAAATCCTCAAAATCCATTGAATCCATCAAAATCCAAAAAAATCCTTTAAAAACCACAGAAATCCTTCAAAAATCCACAGAAATCCTTCAAAATCCTTAAAAAATCCGCAAATCCACAAAAAATATATGAAGTACTTGGTGTAATTTACTCATAAAGGGCCCGTAAAGGTTCTTTGCCACGTTCAAAATGGCGGACAGCGAAAGCTAAACGCTTACCGTGATCGCTGTCATTATATTTCGTAATTATTGGACCACTCTACATTTCCATTTATATACGCTCGAGTA